AATCTTTTCTAACTATGCAGCTGAAAGTAGATCGTCAACAATTCCTTCAGTTGAAATAATCGCTTAAAATCTCTTTATTTACAGGAACTTTGGAAAAAAATACCTGTCATCATTTTTGTAACCAGTATTACTTCTTCAACAGCCTCATCGTGTAAGGTTACAATTGAAAGTTTGGCCAGCTTGTTATATCAACATGTTGACCAGACCACACACTAGAAGGTGAAGGGACGACGACGTTTCGGTCCGTCCTAGACCATTCTTAAGTCGATTGAAAGTAGATCGATATCAATCGACTTGAGAGTGGTCCAGGACGGACCGAACCGTCGTCGTCCCTTCACCTTCTAGTGTGTGGTCTGGTCAACATAATTTAGCCACGTTATTGTGGCTTATATCAACATTACTCAATGCAGCGAAGAAAACTCATACAGCCTAAACAAATTCTGTGGTATATTACGAGTGGTGAGATAGTCAGTTGAAATAATAAATCTGCAAATGAACTTTTTTTATAATAATAATAATAATAATAATAATAATAATAATAATTTTTATTTAGGCAAAGGTACATACATAAAGAGATTTTACAAAGTTTGTTGGCTTTATAGATAGGAGCTAGTACATACAATGCCTAAAGCCACTATTACGCAAAGCGTTTCGGGCAGATTCCACGAAGTTTTTCCACGAAGAAATAATTATTATTATTTTCTACCACAGACGTAGCCACACATTTACAATGCTAATCAGCATATATACATTTTCTTCTGACCTATTAAGGCCCATGCTTTAGAGAGAAGTTTTGAAATTATATATAAAAAAGAATCTTGGTTATTCATGGAATCGTCTACTCGTCAAATGCCGCAAATAATTCGTTGTAATTCGCGTCGGGGGACAGGCAGCCAGTGTATGTATACATGTTAGGCTCATATGGAGGTCGCCCTTCAAGGTGGAACTACTGACCCTCCCCAGGATGCAACCCTATAACAGGTTGACTAGCTCTTGGGTACCTATTTACTGCTAGGTGAACAAGTGCATTAGGTGATAGAAAAGATGCTTATTTCTGTCTCGGATACGAACCCGAAATTCCACGTTTGAGAGTTGATAAGGATCCCGACTGTACAACCCGGACCCTATTAAGAAATTACTAAAGTTTAAAATTCTTCTGGGAAAAAATAGAAGGGGGGGGTGCCTTTGGCAAACCTCTGGCTTCCTGTCCCCATCGCGACCATTTGGTAAATACAGCAAACGCAGAATGTCAGACGCAGTATGCCAGTGTAAGACTGGACGGTAGAGCGACGGTCTCTCCTCATGCAGGTCGGCGTTCAATCCCCGACCGTCCACAAGTGGTTGGGCACCATTCCTTCCCTCCGTCCCATCCCAAATGCTTATCTTGACCCCCTTCCCAATGCTGTATAGCCGTAATGGCTTGGCGCTTTCTCCTGATAGTGCCCTTCGCAAAATTGACGTCATGTTCCGTTTTCTATTCGTGGATCCTCGGGTAGGTTAGGTCCGGGTAATTTAGTAACATTTAGTGACTTGAACGCTCGGGAGGATGGGATGTTATATACACTGAGAATTTACTTTAGCACACTGCCGCAATCAAGCCTGCCGAAGGGGCCTGATAGCTGAGTGGACAGCGCTCGGGATTCGTAGTCCCGAGGTTCCGGGTTCGATCCCCGGTGGAGGCGGAGACAAATGGGCAAAAAGTTTCTTTCACCCTAATACCCCCTGTTCACCTAGCAGTAAATAGGTACCTGGGAGTTAGACAGCTGCTACGGGCTGCTTCCTGGGGGTGTGTAACAAAAACGAGGCCTGGTCGAGGACCGGGCCGCGGGGACGCTAAGCCCCGTAATCACCAAGATAACACCGAGAAACAAAGCGTATTTATCAACGTTCCTACATCAAGTAAGCAATTAGGCTTCATTTGAAGATATTTCGAGATTCGACCCAAAAATCATCCTAATTCGCCAATCGAAGAAGGGATATTAAAATTTTTTAAGGTATTCGCTTCGCTTTAATGTCCAAAGGGATTGGAAAGGATGAGGGAGGTAGATTTTAAGGTATTCAGTGCCGAGAGACAAATAATACTATGACAAGTAAAGTTATATGAAACAAGAGTGAATTTGACTCTTCACAGAAGGAAAAACAATAGGTTATCTTGAGGTTATCTTGAGATGATTTCGGGGCTTTAGTGTCCCCGCGGCCCGGTCCTCGACCAGGCCTCCACCCCCAGGAAGCAGCCCGTGACAGCTGACTAACACCCAGGTACCTATTTTACTGCTAGGTAACAGGGGTATAGGGTGAAAGAAACTCTGCCCATTGTTTCTCGCCGGCGCCTGGGATCGAACCCAGGACCACAGGATCACAAGTCCAGTGTGCTGTCCACTCGGCCGACCGGCTCCCATTATAGGCAATATAATGACAGAATATAAGAATATCAAGAGGCATGACAATCTTGACTCGGTAAAATACTCCACAATGACTTTACAATTATAGACAAACGATTTCACTCCAACGAAACAAAATAAATAATTTTCGCTAATCTAGGGTTATACCGTGTTTAAATAACGTATATGAAACAGCCTATAAAATCCACTACTTAAATCGTTTGTACCACCACAAGATTCGCAGACAACCAGCCAAATATTGCTCTTAATTGTTGTTGCTTGAAATCCCTTTGTAATCCTCTTCAACAACATTCTCCTGGTATTTTTCACACGTCATTTCCAGCGCCACCTTGCTGGCCGCTGCCTCATGGAGGACTTGCTATAACCAGATTACATTTCAGCAAACGTCATGTTGCCGGCATGATGCGAATCTTGCATGGGCCCAGGCTTATGGTGCAGCTCTTTCCCGCCATATTATGGTGCAGCTCTTTCCCGCCATATTATGGTGCAGCTCTTTCCCGCCATTTAATGCACTGGATTCTTCGTCAATCATACACACACATTCTCTCTCTCTCTCTTTATATATATATATATATATATATATATATATATATATATATATATATATATATATATATATATATATATATATATATATATATATATATATATATATATTAGGCACTGAAGTTAAAACCTTTCTTGTTTCAGAAAACGGAATTTTTCATTATTTTAATATTTTTTGTAATTTTAAATTTATAAATAAAAGTCAGATTCCTTACTTCATTGACCAGATCTTGCATCACAGTAATTAAGCAACAGAGCAATATTGCTTGACAATTCTAATTGTGGGTTAATGCTTGATATCAGAGGTTGGGGCGTGTAAGTGTTTCTAAGGTTCACTTCAGGTACGAGATCTGCACCTCTTACATCAGCCATGAGACCGTAGTCTGTGTTCTTACGTCAGCCATGAGACCGTAGTCTGTGTTCTTACGTCAGCCATGAGACCGTAGTCTGTGTTCTTACATCAGCCATGAGACCGTGGTCTGTGTTCTTACATCAGCCATGAGACCGTAGTCTGTGTTCTTACGTCAGCCATGAGACCGTAGTCTGTGTTCTTACGTCAGCCATGAGACCGTAGTCTGTGTTCTTACATCAGCCATGAGACCGTAGTCTGTGTTCTTACATCAGCCATGAGACCGTAGTCTGTGGTCTTACGTCAGCCATGAGACCGTAGTCTGTGTTCTTACATCAGCCATGAGACCGTAGTCTGTGTTCTTACGTCAGCCATGAGACCGTAGTCTGTGTTCTTACATCAGCCATGAGACCGTAGTCTGTGTTCTTACATCAGCCATGAGACCGTAGTCTGTGGTCTTACGTCAGCCATGAGACCGTAGTCTGTGTTCTTACATCAGCCATGAGACCGTAGTCTGTGGTCTTACGTCAGCCATGAGACCGTAGTCTGTGTTCTTACATCAGCCATGAGACCGTAGTCTGTGTTCTTACGTCAGCCATGAGACCGTAGTCTGTGTTGTTACATCAGCCATGAGACCGTAGTCTGTGGTCTTACGTCAGCCATGAGACCGTAGTCTGTGTTCTTACATCAGCCATGAGACCGTAGTCTGTGTTCTTACATCAGCCATGAGACCGTAGTCTGTGTTCTCTGACTAGTTTACAGTCTCCGAAGAGCTGTGAAGTCTTATATTAATGAGTTAGGCTGAAGGACGACCCTGTTACACCTCGAAGCTATCAGTTTACGGGCTCGCCATAGCCCGTGCTACTTGGAACTGTTTGTTCCAGGTAGCGAATCTTTAACAACAACAACAACCTCGAAGCTCATAAACTGGTCAGAAAATAATTATTTAATAATTCATTTTGTTTGGAGACAGATAGCTTGTGGGGTATTTTACCTGAATTTACCTGAGGGTCGCTAATACTAGTGGCAAATACCAGAGTTTTGACGTTTCCGGCTTCGGCGGGTAGGCGGTTCCACGGGTTTATAACCTTATAGATGAAAAAGAAATACGTTAGGCTAATAATTCCCCCAACAAGGTTGAACAACTTACTTTACCCGGGATCCAATTCTGCTATAACAAACTATTTACTGTTAGGTGAACAGGGGTATTAGGTGATAGGAATCGTGCCCAACCATTTCTGTCCCTTCCAGGATTCGAGCCCGAGATTGTCGATCAAGGTAAGAGGAACAGATCTCGTAAGTGAACACTTAAGTCTTTGTGAATCCTGACCCAGGGTTATAGGGCCAAACATCACAGCAAATTCAAGTCATTATCAGCCGCATACATTAAACTTTAAAGCTTAGAATATTAAGTAAATTAATGATCATTTTATGTTTGTTTTATTTGAATTGGTTCACTGTTTTCTTGCAATTTTTTAATGAAACAAGCTTTAGTTTTTTTGCTATTAATTTGTGGAATTTTGCGAGAAGTGACTTGAAATATTTGTATTTGGTATTTGACACTCTAACTTCAGACTAAGATTTGCACGAGACGAGCTGTTGGCTCCTAATAGCGGATACAGTGACGGACTGTATCCTGGGGCGTCTTGCTGTAAGGGACTACACGGCAGACTGACTGTAACTTCTTGTACCTGTATCCACAGTTGTTCGGCCTCGATTTCCACCTCATCGACCCAGACCTTATTTTCCCCCACGAGTTTGGGGCCCTAATCGACTGCCAGGTAAAGTCTCCTTCCTCTTGCTGTCTCTCTCTCCTTCCCTCTTGCTGTCTCTCTCTCCTTCCCTCTTGCTGTCTCTCTCTCCTTCCCTCTTGCTGTCTCTCTCTCCTTCCCTCTTGCTGTCTCTCTCCTTCCCTCTTGCTGTCTCTCTCTCCTTCCCTCTCTATTTTAACCCTACATTTATTGCTCATTCAACCCTTCTGATCTAGAAGTCTTCCTTGCTGTGGTCTCATTAGTTCACTACCTTCCAGTTCTCTTGTTAGGAAAGATAGTTATCAAGAGGAAGAAGTTAGCTAGTATGCCTTTATCACTCTGGTATATGAGGGGCAAGGAGCTAGGATATGATAGGGTGAAGGAACGGTGCCCAACCACTTGAACCATTGGGGGATCGAACACTGGCATGCAAGAAGCAAGTCCATAGGATATTCTCTCGCGAGTTTCCTGTAGCCTAGTGCTATCCTGCTTATTGATAGGCCTATGTAATCATTATTTGGTCATGCTTCTCAGGTAACAAGGTCTCCCAGGTAACAAGAAGGTCTCCTGGGTCTTCTCAGGTCTCCTTCATTCAGAGGGATCTGTATTTTCTGTTTCATTTGTCTGAATAAGTAATTTCCTATCTCCAATTTATTGTGGTTGCATTTTCTGTGAACATATTATGCCAATTAGATCATTCTTCTTTTGTTTTATTGTTGAGTTTATTTAGTCTCTTCAAGTTCAAGTATGTTTATTGAGACAAGAAAAAAATACATCTCAAAGGGATAGAGTAGCTTAGGCTATTTCTACCCCCCTTTAGTCTCTTAATCGCTCCTTTACATTGTTGACAATCGTACACATTATACGAATTTATCATGAAATTTCAATATGACCCAGAGACAACAATGTCATTTATTATACTATATGATCGAGTTTTGTTTGGGGCCAGCGAGAAATTTCCACCTGTTCTCGTACTCCAGTAAATTTCCTGAATACATAAATCTCTATATTTAGTATGAGGACGGGTTGTGTGTATTTCTTTGTGTCATCTTGTTCATTATTTTCTTCAGCGAATCCTTGAAGAGTCATTATCTAATGTCTACACATTCTTGATCTTTTGACGTGGCGTTATTCTAGATGTTAGGGGTTTGGTACAGTCCTGTACCTCATGCAGTACTTGTACCATGGTACTAGGGCCCTGTACCTCATGCAGTACCTGTTCCATGGTACTAGGGCCTTGTACCTCATGCAGTACCTGTTCCATGTTACTAGGCCCTTGTACCTCATGCAGTACCTGTTCCATGTTACTAGGGGCCTTGTACCTCATGCAGTACCTTTACCATGGTACTAGGGCCTTGTACCTCATGCAGTACCTGTACCATGGTACTAGGCCCTTGTACCTCATGCAGTACCAATGCATCCAAAGATGTTTAGCAATTAAATGTCTCCTAATTCTTTTGCAAACTGTGTCATGTATGTTACTACTACTAATGTGAGCAGTATACTACTACGACCACTCTACCATCATACCATGACGACTAATCTATTACTCCGGAGAGTTGCTAGTACAATTTGACTTTTACAAATACCTGTAGTCTATTTCTTCTATTGCTGTCCTGGCCACATTCATTTGTGGAGGCGAAATCAGCTTGAGCCTTGTCACCTCTGTGTCGTTACTTACATATATATAGATACAGTATATTATATCTATATTGTATCTCGGTAAACTTGTTTCAATTTCTATATCCTCTGTCCTATCATTTTATGGTCAACTGTTTTTCAATAGTGCTTTCATTTTCTGCAAAAGATTCTAACTTACAAAAGTAAAATACAATTTGGAGAAAAATTACAAATTAAACTCAAGTTTATTTCTCTTTATGAGTGGACACTCCTCTTACCTGGTAATTTTATGTGATATAATAAGATAATATTAATTATTGTACATGATTTTATTGATTATGTATTTGCATGGATTTTTGCATGTAAGCTTGTTGGTTGAATGCTTAACAATGTGATGGGGAAGTAATCTTTGCATGTTGTGGGCTAACTCTTCCTTAAGATTCTATCAATTTGCTTAATATTTATGCTGTTTAAGACGATTAAATATTGCGAGAACAAGGAGGGTATAATGGTGATGTTATTTAAACCATTTTATTTTTAAGTCAGACCAAAATTAAATTATTATTGTTTACCTACCAGTGACTACAAGATGTGAGGTGTAGTTCTTCATACCCCACTTCCTAGCTATTTGTAAATCTCTTCACATATGAGTTATGTCTTATTTGCTCATGAAGATGGGAATGGAGGCGTCTTCCAAATACGTCTTTAGGGTATTCCACTTGTTGACCACTTGTGCAGGGCACGAGTACTTCCACTTGTTGACCACTTGTGCAGGGCACGAGTACTTCCACTTGTTGACCACTTGTGCAGGACACGAGTACTTCCACTTGTTGACCACTTGTGTACGACACGAGTACTTCCACTTGTTGACCACTTGTGCAGGGCACGAGTACTTCCACTTGTGCAGGGCACGAGTACTTCCACTTGTGCAGGGCACGAGTACTTCCACTTGTGTAGGGCACGAGTACTTCCACTTGTGTAGGGCACGAGTACTTCCACTTGTGTAGGGCACAAGTACTTCCACTTTTGTAGGGCACGAGTACTTCCATTTGTGTAGGGCAAGAGTACTTCCACTTGTGTAGGGCACGCGTACTTCCACTTGTGTAGGGCACGAGTACTTCCACGTGTGCAGGACACGAGTACTTCCATTTGTGTAGGGCAAGAGTACTTCCACTTGTGTAGGGCACGAGTACTTCCACGTGTGTAGGACACGAGTACTTCCACTTGTTGGCCACTTGGGCAGGACACGAATACTTCCACTTGTTGACCACTTGGGCAGGACACGAGTACTTCCACTTGTTGACCATTTGGGTAGGGCACGAGTACTTCCACTTGTTGACCACTTGGGCAGGGCACGAGTACTTCCACTTGTTGACCACTTGGGCAGGACACGAGTACTTCCACTTGTTGACCATTTGGGTAGGGCACGAGTACTTCCACTTGTTGACCACTTGGGCAGGACACGAGTACTTCCACTTGTTAACCACTTGTGCAGGGCACGAGTACTTCCACTTGCGCAGGGCACGAGTACTTCCACTTGTGCAGGGCACGAGTACTTCCACTTGTGTAGGGCACGAGTACTTCCACTTGTGTAGGGCACGAGTACTTCCACTTGTGTAGGGCACAAGTACTTCCACTTTTGTAGGGCACGAGTACTTCCATTTGTGTAGGGCAAGAGTACTTCCACTTGTGTAGGGCACGCGTACTTCCACTTGTGTAGGGCACGAGTACTTCCACGTGTGCAGGACACGAGTACTTCCATTTGTGTAGGGCAAGAGTACTTCCACTTGTGTAGGGCACGAGTACTTCCACGTGTGTAGGACACGAGTACTTCCACTTGTTGGCCACTTGGGCAGGACACGAATACTTCCACTTGTTGACCACTTGGGCAGGACACGAGTACTTCCACTTGTTGACCATTTGGGTAGGGCACGAGTACTTCCACTTGTTGACCACTTGGGCAGGGCACGAGTACTTCCACTTGTTGACCACTTGGGCAGGACACGAGTACTTCCACTTGTTGACCATTTGGGTAGGGCACGAGTACTTCCACTTGTTGACCACTCATATCAAAGATTCGGTTGTATTTCCAGCTTCCACGGCTGTTCTATTTTTTCTCAAATTAAACAGGCAAACCTTTTCCACCTTGTCAATTTCCCCCAATATTTTATAAATAGTGAATTGATTCTCTCTGCTCCTTCTCCCCTCAAGGCCAATCTTTGTTAGTAAATCCTCACAAGTATTGTGAAAGGCTTCTTAAAGGCAGCCAAATAACTGTGTCAAATAACAGAACTAAACATAGAATACACAAAGCATAGTATTATTAGAAGTAATAAAATGTATATGTAATATATATACTGTATTGGTGCCACTACTGGTTACAAATGTGGTCCCATAAAATGTATAGATTCCCACCAATGCACATTTATATTCTCTTACAAGGTAGTAGATAAGTATCAGTGAGAGTGGATACATGTGTGCAGATTTTGGAAATTCCACAGTTCAAACTATGTAAGACATATTAGTTTGCCTTTGCCTTGTTGCAAATGCAGTTTGGTTTCTGGGTGTGAATTGGGGCAGCAAAACGGAATCCCTTTGGGTCAAGATGTATATCTGTTGCAGGGTACTATTAAAAGTTCTCTTTATGGGGGTACTCATGGCTCTGCAACAAGCATTTTACTTTTGTGGACTTGTAGCCTGTAGCACGGTTTTTGACATTTTCTCCAGAATAGAGTTGTCCCAGCTGTACTGTTTCAGGTTTTTTTTGTCTGGACCTCAAGTGTGAGGACTGAAAGAACATCCCGCTGATTGGTGGTCAGAATAAAGCTGAGATAGTGAAGTCTTGCTTAATCACCTACCAGTTCTGGTAGGATTGCCGATACAAGGTTATTAAATGCTGAGGAAGATGATAGGGAGGCTGGAAAAGCAATTTAGAGACACTATGTTGACACAAAGGCTGACATATGTGATGTGTGGAACGGGTAGATTTTTTCCCACTGAGTCATAAAGAAAGAGGTTGAAGAGTATAGTGGTGTTACACAGTGATAAAAATTCCTCACTGGAAGTTTGCTTAGTAAGGGAAATGCATCATGTGCGCACAGTACAGATCATTGTGAGCATCAGTATTGCCAATCCTAAATTTTCATCCTCCTTAGATTGATAATCTTCTTACCTAGGGGCTCATTGGGTTTGCTCCCAATTCATAACTGCAGAAACCTAGATTTTAATCCTGGGTGGGGCAGAAATGGTTGGTCATGTATCTTTCACCTAATGCCTCTGTTCACCCAGCATTAAATAGTAGATACCCAGAAGTTGGTCATCTGCTGTGGGGTTGCATCCTAGGCATGGTCAATAGTTCGACCTTGGGAAGGGGGAGCCTTGATACTATCCTAAAGTATAATTAATTTATGTATGGGAAATGTAAAACAGATACATGTGTTTTCTCTAAATTCATTAGAAGTAAGTTCCATGTAAAGGATGAAATCCAGAGATTGAGTGAGAATGGGGAACAGATTCACAGAGAATGAAAAAGAAATGTGCAAAACACTAAATAAACAGTTCCCAAGTGTGTTTGTGCAAAATAAGGTTTTTAGAGAACAAGACACAATGTCAATTCTAGAGAACACCACAGAGTACATAGAGGTGTCTCAAGACGAAGTGGAAAAAATTACTCGAGGAGCTAGGAATAAATAAAGCTGTTGTACCAGATGGAATTTCACCTTGGGGTGCTGCGAGAATGTGCAACTGAGCTGAGCATTTTACATCAACTGATATTCTGCAAAGATGCAAAATCAAGCTATAAAATGGCTTCCGGGAACTGAAAAACAAGAGTTATGAAAAGATGCTAGAGGCATTAATAGGCCCAACCTAGAAGATAGAGGAAAAAGAGGCTATATGATCACAACATACAAAATACAGTAATAACAGGAATTGACAAATTTGACAAAGAATTGCTGAAACTAACAACCTCAATAACAAGAGGTCATAGATTCAAGCTAAGGAAACAAATGTGCCAAAAAATATTAGAAAGTTTTCTTTTGCAAACAGTGGGGTAGACAGTTGGACCAAGTTAAGTGAAGTGGTGGTAGTGGCCAAAACTGTCAGTAGTGTCAAAGCATTATATGACAGAGTACTGGGAATACGGGACACCGCGAGTGTAGCTCTCATCCTATAACTACATTTGGGTAATTAAACATATTAAAGCTTATATTGAGGTCCCTTCCCCCCACCCCCTCCACAAGGTGGAACTACTGACCCTCACCAGGATGCAACCCAACAACAGTTGCTTAACTTCCGGGTACCTATTTGCAAAAATAGGTACCCAGTAGGTGAATTGCGGCGTTAGGTTGTAGAAAACATGCCCAAACATTTGTCTCGCCCAGGATTTGAACCCAGAATTCCCGATTGTGAGCTGAGAATGAACTCGAATGTACACAATATATACACAGGCTGCCCATCCTCGACAAAACAAATTATATTAATTATATCAGTTATTATGTGAACTGACACTACAGTATTGCCTTTACTCAGTCTGTAATGTGATAATTGGAAGACTGTTTCACAGTTGGAGAGATTAAGGTGAGGTCAAGATTATCTTTTTGCTCGTTGATTTTCTTATTATACTCCAGGATGGAATCTTACTAGCTAGTCACTATCAGTAATTTCTTTAATGGCTAAGCAAATATGAAGAGAGGCAGGGAACATCTTATGGATGCTTTCACATGAAGCAACTTTGTCTGCCAAAGAGAAGCTTAAAGAGGTTGCTCTAACATAACAGGATGAATGGCGTGAGGGGAAAAGAAATCGCTTTTAATACACCATCTCTTCTCACTAGATTGAAGGTAATTTTTAAAACCCAGCTTCACTGGAGCCTTCTGACCTGTGAAGCTGACAATGTATGCATGGTATTATTTAATATTAATGAATTAGCTAGGTGCAACATGACAATTGTGTGAGGACAAAGACTTGAATGCAAAGACTGCCACTATACCTAAAATAGGATTTAGCAAAGGAACATTCACAAATTTATTTAATGTCCCTTAATGATATTAACGATATTTACGTACTGTACAGACAATGGCAGAGTTAAGAAATTATATCAGTCTTCGTTATATATTAAAAGGTGTTAATGTATATTATAATCACATTTTTAACCAACTGCCTCCATGTGCTCTTAACATCAATACAAAGACAACAATAATAATAATAATCGTAGCATTCTAATACTAATATTAATAATAATGATAATAATTTGTTTATGTATAAAGCACAAGTTGCGGCACATACAAACATTCCTACACAAGAATTTGTTAACTCATCTTCCAAAAGTGATGGTACATATATCTAATACGGGTGGAATGTGCAAAATATAGACCGCTGCACCCCAAGAATAGTCCAAGTTTTGCACTATTGGAATTCTGAGGAGTATAGCAAAAACTGAAACTCACTGACCAAAAGCCTAATCTTTCTGGGCCTAAATAAGCAATCATAGGCCCAACATACAATCTTAGGCATAATTTAGTATACAAACTGTATGTACTTGGCCGAAGATACGTTTGTTGCCTTTTTTCTCAGACCCTTTGCAAAATTAATACGATAGTACAGAATGTGGCCTCTCATCAGTTTCAGTCCAGGTTTTGTACATTCCATTCACAATCTTTGTATGTGCTAATATATTTAGATAACTGGCTGGAACTTTTCCAGCCTTTTCTAAACTGCTGGGTACGCAGTATTAGTTAATTCTTTATAGTCTCGTAGATAAATTTTATGACAAGGATTATGTTGCAGTTGGCGTGGGCCATGCTGTAGGTCCTCCTGTAGGCCCTGCTGTAGGCCCTGCTGCAGGCCCTGCTGTAAGCTTGGCCCGACAGCCCTTCCAGGTCCTCGAGGTGCCAAGGCTTCAACAACCAACCCTTGTGAACCAAGCAGGTAGAACAGATCATTCAATTACCAATCGAAATGCTACCAAAATTAATATATAAAGTGGTGAAGAAGGGATTAAGTTTTTAATAATAAAGCTTTATTTATTTATAAATACACTTACAGTACTGAATAAGGAAGAGCAGACTAAATCAAAGAGGTTTGTATTATTACAGCACTCAAGAGCCATTCCATATTGCATTATAGTTTATACAGCCCGTTCTCTCAATTTTCCGTCTGTACAAAATGTACAGAACTGTGTTTCTTAAACAGCAACGTACAAACTCGAGCAACCCAAAACTAACCTATTCAAGGCAGATGCATTGAAAATGTTAATCGTAGTTATTTATTTCTTAATACGTCTCCTTTTTAACCAATGGTCGAACCTAGGTTAAAAATGGGATGTAATAGGTGAGAGGGCGGGTTGGTCTGTAAATCATTTGCATCGAGTCTACTTCTTTTCGGTCACATTTTCTTTCCATATTATTCATTTGGAAAACAAAATTAAAAATTAGCTTTTCTTGCTGTTACTGTTGCAGTCCATTGATGTGATGTGCTGAATGACTTATGGTGCTTGAATTTCACTAAAGGGGTGGGGATTTATTAGGCCTATCATGGGCTCTGTCTATAAAGGAATATCTTGCTTGTTAGGCCTACCACTGTCTATATGGGAATCTCTCATACTGTACATATTTTGGTGGGTTGGGCTGTACAGTTGGCCTTTATACAGTAATATCTTATGGGTTATACAGCTTGTATAGTTGTAATACAAGCTGGCCTCGTAAGTCCTTGTTCATTCAACCTAGTGTATAGTTATATAATTTTAAAAATTTTAACGGCTGTAAAAATGTAAATAATTTTGTGTGAAATAACACATTTTAAGTTTTTTGACTAAGGTTTCTTGTATATTCCCTCCTTAAAGTCACCAAGGCAATATTAAGTTTTAGCATACCTTTGTATAGCTAACAGTGTACAGTACATACAGTTTTATAACTTTCAATTTTGATTGGCACTTTTTATCTCTATTTAGATATTCAGACTCCCCCTCTTCTCTCCCATCACCCCATGAATGTTTCAGAATGTGGCATTCAGAGAGTATCTCAGTTTGCCAAGCGGATCATTGGTGGAGATGAGGCCAAGTTTGGAGAGTTTCCTTGGCAGGCTCACATCCGTATCTCGGGCTACCAGTGTGGGGGAGTCCTCATCAACCATTACTTCGTCGCTACAGCCGCTCACTGCGTCCACAAGTAAGTCCTCATTCACACACACATTCATACCCTAAGATCATTCTTTTTTGTTAAATGACATTGAATTATTTACAAAGAGTATACACACCAAAAGGTGTACACAGAACAGACATCCACAGGTGTGTGTGTGTGTAGGATAGACATTAACAAGTGTGTAAAATAGATACCAAATGGTGTGTGTGTGTGTGTAGAATAGACACCAGCAACAGGTGTCTATGTAGAATAGATACCAACAGGTGTCAGGTCTGTATTTGTATCTTTCATTGAAAAAGCCATACTCCTATGATTAAAGTGAATCTTTAGCCATAGCCCTGGATATTTCCATAGATTTTGACAGTATAGCACAACTTTTTACTTTCTAGGCTTATATCCTTTGACTTAAAATATTATTTCTAGATTGCTATCTGATGTATTTATCAGTTGTAATGGTTCAACTTGTATAGATTTATCTATTAACTGGTGTGTTCCACAAGGTTATGTTCTCTTCAGAACACATCTAATGATATTTATTTGTGTGGTGTTTACTCCACTTTGCACACTTCTTCACACTTTGGATTCAGTCCTCCTCTTGCGACCCCTCACAGAATCAAGCACTATACTGTTTAATTCTCCCATACCTGGTTGACCTGGTTACCTGGTTGAAGGGGTTCTGGGAGTTCTTCTACTGCCTAAGCCCGGCCCGAGGCCAGGCTTGACTTGTGAGAGTTTGGTCCACCAGGCTGTTGCTTGGAGCGGCCCGCAGGCTCACATATACCTGGTTGATGGGGTTCTGGGAGTTCTTCTACTCCCCAAGCCCGGCCCGAGGCCAGGCTTGACTTGTGAGAGTTTGGTCCACCAGGCTGTTGCTTGGAGCGGCCCGCAGGCCCACATATACCTGGTTGATGGGGTTCTGGGAGTTCTTCTACTCCCCAAGCCCGGCCCGAGGCCAGGCTTGACTTGTGAGAGTTTGGTCCACCAGGCTGTTGCTTGGAGCGGCCCGCAGGCCCACATATACCTGGTTGATGGGGTTCTGGGAGTTCTTCTACTCCCCAAGCCCGGCCCGAGGCCAGGCTTGACTTGTGAGAGTTTGGTCCACCAGGCTGTTGCTTGGAGCGGCCCGCAGGCCCACATACCCACCACAGCCCATATCTGATCTTATAGTGAATATATCTTATCTTGTATGAATATCAGGCCAAGGGGCCAGAGAGCTGAGTAGACAGAGCTTTGGATTCATAGTCCTGAGGTTCCGGGTTCGATTCCCAGTGAAGGCAAAAAAATGGGCAGTTTCTTTCACCCTGATGCCCATATTACCTAGCAGTAAATAGGTACCTGGGAGTTAGACAGCTGCTACGGGTTGCTTTCTGGGGTGTGTGTAACAAAAAAGGAGGCCTGGTCGAGGACCGGGCCACGGGGTCGCTAAGCCCCGAAATCATCTCAAGATAACCTGACAAGATAGGGCTATGTGGCACCAAAAGGTGTGTGTGTGTAGACACCAAATACAGGCACACAAATATCATGTGTGTAGCCAGGCACAGTGTTGAACATACAAGGTTCAATTCTCGACAAAAGCACTTGGGCAGTGTTTCCTTTCACCTAATGGCTCTGTTCACCTAGCTGTAAACAGGTATGTACCTGGGAGTTAGAAAACTGTTGTGGGTGGCATCCTGGAGAAGGTTAGTAGTTGGCCGAGGGGTGATCCTTGATAAGACTAATAGGCTTCTTATCCCCAACTATAGATAAGTATGGGAAGTAAGTAGTTATAAAAAAGAAGGCATCAAGCCTTCTTATAATGCATAATGCAAAGTTTCTTTCACCCTAAATGCCCCTGTTACCTAGCAGTAAATAGGTACCTGGGAGTTAGTCAGCTGTCACGGGCTGCTTCCAGGGGGTGGAGGCCTGGTCGAGGACCGGGCCGCGGGGACACTAAAGCCCCGAAATCATCTCAAGATAACCTCAAGATAGGAAGCCGGGAAGACTATCCATCTCCTTTTGGGGACACTGAATGAAGTAAAAATGTATTAATTTGATAATTTTCCCAATTACAGTGAAGTACTGTGCATTGAAGGAAATTCCAGCTGACTGCCAGCTCTCTTGGAACCTCTTTATCTTGAACTACAGTCCTCTTGCAGTACTCTTTTAGTATGATAGTCATGTCTTAATGCTCCTAGAAACTTTGCATCTAAGCAATTTCCAGGAACATGCAACATTTTTGGTATCCTCTTTACATTCAAAAATGTACACAAAGAAGCTCTAGGGAACTCTTGCCTTACAGAGCACGGTTGAACCAGATCACTGTCCACCTGGGAGAGTTTGATACCAAAGACACGGGGGAGTATGCTGAACCCTTCCCCAAGGAGACCTTCTCCGTTCTCGAGAAGCGAATACACCCAAGTTTCAAGTACATGCTCACTCAACCAGACAGGTTTGTTGCCCCTGTGGCAAATATATTTGTATTTTTTTTTAAATGTGGAAGGGAGTACCACCTCTGGCTGGAAGAAGGGGGGACCCTTAGCCTTGGAGGAAAGCACACATAATGCATTAGAAGGGATGTTTAGGTCCCCTCCAATACAGTTTCTATGTTTTTTCTCCTAAACCCCCCCCCCCCCCCCTTCCTTTTGGTGTTTCGTTGTGTTTTTGTTTAATTCTATATATTTGTTATATAGAATTAAACAAAATTAATTCTATTGTATCTAACTCTTGAATCCATATACTGTACAGTAATCACAAAAGCCAATATGTATTCTCAATGTACCCTACAGCCTCCATGTTTCCTCTAATCTATCGTTTGGCTGAATATACCCGAGTTTACCTTTAGTAACCTTGCAATATTTTCAATGTAAAAATCATTGGGGTATAATTTCTTATTTTTGCATTTAATTTGTATCTGAATTATTTTTTCTTTATGCCTTCTTGTGGAACTTGGTGTAACTGTATACAGGCTTGGAACAGGTAATTGTATATAGTCATTCTAATGTTTCAGAGTTCAAGCTTTGTGTATGTACATAGTGATTGCATAACATGTGATTATACAGTCATTATTAATTACACAATAATGTTCATATATATATGTAAACCCATACCTTTTCCACTTCCATGTTCCTCAAGCATCATAACTGAACTTCCATGTACAGGTTTGACATAGCTGTACTGCGTCTCAATCGTCCAGTTGTATACAGAGAAAACATTTTACCTATTTGCCTTCCGGATGCCAGTGATGACTTTAATGGAGATGTGGGCATTGTAGCTGGCTGGGGCAAGACTGACAACTCATTTGGTGAGTAACCTGCTTTTCTGGTGTTGGAACCTGGGTGTTTTTCTGTGGCTCCACCTCTTTCAGAGAATTGGTCCAGTGACATACCTTACTGGTTCAACCTTCTTGGTGTCACTTCACGGCTGGACTTTCTGATGTAAGTGTATCACCATTTTTATGGCCCACAGGTGGCTGGGTTATTAGTTTCCCATTGGCATTTGTTTTCCAGGCTGTAATATGACATAGCTTGGTGCTCGTTTTGCATCTTTCCGTCTCTAGTCTTCTTAGTCTCATTCCAAGGCTCATATTTCTCAAGTGTCCACAGTGTCACCAAGATTAGCCAGCCTGCAGTATATTTCCAGGCCTAAAATGTTCACAAATATGCTGCACGAGCAGCGGTCTTCTCTAATATGTCTCGGGTGGATATTCAGGCTTGGGGGTTTTGGTGGACTTATATGGTCATGATGGACAAGTATTTAGTCACTATCCCTCGACCTCTTTGGTCTTGTGTTGCCCTGCATTGTGTTTCCTGGCGGTTAGTCTGTACTTCGACTTAGTGCCTGCTGCTTTTCCTCCCTGGTAAGTCCCTCAAATTTTTCTCTGTGGTTATTTACCTGTCGGGAGTCATTGTGGGGGGGGCTTCCCCTAGGAACTCGGCATTGAATAAAATAAAATACCTCTCTTTGGTAGAGTCCCAGTGGCTGCCTGTCTCCCTTTCTTCCATGTTCATTAGTTTATTGTGGGTTTTTGTGCTCCTCAACTGACCTGAGAGCTGATGCTGGGCCTAGCTCTAGGCTGCCTGGTGACAGCATTTGATGAAATGGCAGAATACCATTTGCTGCCTGTGGCTCATGGGTGGAGGCCTGGTTTGGGTTCCCGGTAAGCAAAATAAATTCATGCTACCGATGTGACCGGTAGATTGGAACAATCTCAGCGATATAGCTACACAGAACCACGTGGGCTCTATCAGACAGAGGCTTTTCATTACATTCAGTGCTAAGTTTTTTTACATTTTGTTTACAAAGTTCAGCTAACTTAAAACCAGCAACATTTTAGCAGTATTTTGCTGGGCAGTCTGTCTCATAGTACCTTACAAGTTTGGAGATTATTCATAACAGTAGTACTGTATTGTCAAACTCTCATCAGAGATACTTTCCCACTGAATAAGGACATGGAATCAAAAAGAAGAAATTTATATAACAATAATTTATTCATACAAAACATTAATCAGATTGTAGCGGTTAGTAGGTTGAGTTTATATACTGTAGTTTATAAACTCCACGTAAAACATTCTTTTGTAACTTCTCTTCGTATTGTGTGTTTATATATTTTTATAATATATAAACCCGATGTTGTTTTTTGTAACATAAAAAATACAATTAAATACGAATAAAAAATAACAATAAAAATATGATACGTAAAAATACGATTAAAGTATTTGCTAAAATCTAGGTAATAAATGTTATGAGACTAAATCTTAAATAGAAAAATTAATTACAAAATCATAAATCATAAATGGTCTATAGTTTTACAGAGTCAATAAATTTAGCAACAGTAGTTAATATGTCAGCAGTATGGTAATATAAATTATTCCTGAGCTACCTGCAAATTGGAGCCTCGTGTGTATCATGATGCACGAGATGCTGAGGACGTAAGTCCACTACGGGCTCGCCATAGCCCGTGCTGCTTGGAACTTTTGTTCCAAGCAGCTGAATCTAAAACACAGCATGAGGAGAAAATGCACATCTGTACTAGGTAAGTACGACAAGCTCACCATAGCCCGTGCTGCTTGGAACTTTTACTCCCGAGTTGCTGAATCTAAAACAAGAAGCTGAGGACTTGCCATGTTGCACGGGACACTGAGGATACTCGGGAAGATGTGCTACGTATTGTGGTTCAGGATGTTGTACTCTATTGGTGATGAACATGTACGAGTCACTACCCCTCAACCATCCTATGCAGTAATAATTGATTTCCTTAACCAAGCTTCATTGTCATTAATAGTCGTACCAATTACAGTGTGGCTGATGATCAACACAACATCCTGTGTTTATCATTTAGGTGTTTTGTCAGTCTTCTGATAAACTATTTTGTTAACAATTTACAATTTTATTTTGCTGAAGATATGAGTTTGTCTCGGTTTACCATTGTCCATTAATTATACAGTATCTTATTTACATGGAGGAAATCAATAAATGCTTGAAAAACCTTTATGCATTATAACTTCAAACAACAATGCAAAATATTATTCAATTGTTTATCTCTGCAGGAAAAACGGGCACGAATATCTTGCGGAAGGTGATGGTGCCAATCATCACCAACGACGAGTGTCTCAGTTGGCATCATCGTAAGGGTATAGATGTCAAGCTTCACTATGAGATGTTTTGTGCTGGACACTCTCAAGGCAAGATGGACGCGTGTCTTGTAAGTACAATACTTTTCTGACTGTACTTGTCTGGTTATCTTTTAAATATGGAGAGATGATGTAAGTGTAGAGTAAAGAGGCAGGGGTTGAGATGACATGCTGTAGAGTATGTAGGGAAAGAGAAGACTATGGGTATAGTCATATGTCCACTCCTGTACTCTACACATACAGTCATGTCTTCCCCCATACTCTGCAGGTGGAGAGTGTAAAAGGGGGAAGAGATGACTGAAAGTGTAAATATGTGGGGTAGGGGTCTCCTCCTTCAATATTCTACATGTTCTGTCATCTCTCACCCCCCTCCCCCATACTCTACATCTTTAGTCATGCATAATCTGAAGGTGTAGAGTATGGGGTGGAGACGAGATGACTGTAGGCGTAGAATATGTGGGGACGACTCTCCCATATTCTACATCTACAGTTGTCTCTTTCCCCCTGCAGTCATCTTCTCTCTCCATACACAACACATTGTCATGTGTTTTCAGGGAGGACGGGGGGGACCTGTGTAGTAGACACTGCTCTGCTGCTACGCAGGTTCTTGGCATTCTAAGTAGTAGACACTGCTCTGCTGCTACGCAGGTTCTTGGCATTCCAAGGCAAGTAGGAGAACATCTCGTATGATCACCTTAAAGCAGTACACTGTGATGCCACCCCCTCAGACATCCTCCCAGAAGCACTCCTGCCAACGAGTTTGTATACTTTTCTCCTTGCAAGATATCATGTGCTCCTACGTGACCTGATGATCCAGTGCAACCTCCCACCCAAACAACTCCAGTTAGATGACACCAGCAAGGAGGAAATTAACTTTGAGGGACACACTACATGGTTAAGGTATACGTTTCTCCAGCCAGCCAGAGTTCCTTCGACCAAATATCTTTCACGAGGGAAGGTGGAGTATTGTAGCAACCACATTAGTAATGTGGCAGCTACTCCACATTTCAAGAAAATCTCTGGCAAACACCTGGGCTCCCAATTATTTCACATGCACTAATTATATCATTATATCAATACATGTGCCTAGGAAGTGATAATCTGCAGCAACGACACGACTGGAACATCTTCCCAGGCATTCCGTGTACTAACAACAACCAACAGAAGCAAGCAGTTTCCCATCAACCAAATTACTAGCAGCCTGGAGTTAGAAACACGGTCAGTTGGACAAGAATATAAGGCCCTCAAATCACAGCAGAAACCAGTCTCATTCCATTGGTGGTCAAGAGCAACAGCACTTTGAATAGACAGTACAATGAACTGTCTGACCAACTCTCCCACTACTAGCATTCTACAGCTCAACCTGTCACATTGTCGACATGTTACAACCCCAATTTCGTCGGAAAATCCGACTTGACCTTTGCCTCGACTTGTGACTGTGTTGATAAACGTATGGGTCAACCGAGAGCGTGGCGCATTTCAGTTTACCAGTGTCTCTCACCTAGTGACAATCGCACTTGAATTCTTTGTAAAGAATTTCATTGTTTTTCTGCTTTTTTGGTTTTTGAACATAAAAGTCATTATTATATATCATGCCATGGGTACCAAGAAAGTCAGTAGAGGATGTCCCTTCCTCATTAAGAAAATGTGTGAAGTATGGGAAGAACTGCAAAGTTTTGTTTGTGTGACTAACATTAGTCACCTCTCATACTCTGCAACACACTCCATGTGTGCTTCACTCTGCAGCACTGCCTTTCAACGGCTGGACGTCTCGAAGCTTGTTTACGGCCACTATAGATAAAACTGTGCATGAATGTTAGGAACACAACCAAGAAGTTCGTCAAGCAGATCATCAAGGACTCCGATGCTAGCGTGCCGAGCGGTGTTGGATGCATGTGGTCGCACATGGTTGTCACTTAGGTAATTACATGTGGTGACCCTCATTCGTCGACTGCATATTGCCAGCACTCAACTCGGCAGCAGTTGTCAACCTCAGCGTCAACGTGCTCACAGATGTGCATCTTGTCCAAGTGCGACTAGACCCCAACGGCCAGACCATCTTGAGCAGCGGTGCTGTACACCCACTCACTCGGTAGCTAGTATGTGGCCCAGTAGAGGATATTTTATATTTTCACAATACAACAAAGAAAAGGCCAAAGCTGTTTGTACTGCATTCCTCCCCACTACAAAGAGAGCTACAACCAATAACCCGTAACACAACACTTCATCTTTAACCTTATACTATACTTGAAAATTTTGCAATTGATTACATTTTTAACCAGTTTTAACCATTGCTTTAATTTCTAGAATTATATAAATAACTTTAATATATAGTTTTTATTGCAAAGTGTTCCTCACTAAATGTCTCAAAGATTCACGGAAGAAAACTTTAGAAATTTTACACCAAGCCGAAAGCAAGCGACAAAAATGTAGTCGTAATATAAAAATGTTATTGATACTAATCCAAGGTAACTTCATTAACTTAACTGTGTTCTTTTTCTTTTTTTTTTACCCCAGGGTGACTCTGGTGGCCCGTTAGTTGTCAACAGAAATGGTAGATGGATCCTCGCAGGCATTACCTCGGCCGGGTTCGGATGTGCAGTTGACCATCAGCCCGGAATATACCATAAGGTTTCTATCACTTCAAGCTGGGTAATAGGAAGTGTTAAAACTTGATTATAATATGTACAGCTTAGTGTAACTGAAGTGTATTGTAATTGTACAGAATAAGTGTATTAGATGTAAAAAGTGTGACAATGTTTCCTATCTAGTATTTACCCAGACTGTAATAAATAGATAATTGTACAGGCAAATAGAGTTGTAGATACAGTATTGACAGTCTATTATGATTCTTAAAGATCTCCTTGTTTAACTATATAATTGATTTTAAATGCAAACAATCAATACAATCATGTTGCTGATATTTTGCAACACTTAAAATACTACTTTGTAAATAATCATTGATAAACCTGAGCATTGTCTAGCAAATAATTTAAATAAATTTTAAGAAAACTTTGTTCTTACCAGAACATCTGGCCATCAATATATTATATAGATTCAATATGGCATTAGCCATTAATAAGAGAAGAAAAATTTTAATGTTTAAAGTGATAAACATTTACCCATTCGTGATTTCCGATTTACCACCCTCGATAAGACTATTTCAATTTCAATTCAATTTTGATAAGACAGTTTGGGGGACAAGCATTATTAAATTATATGTCCAAAGATAGACGGGCTCTTTTCGGGAAATGAAGAGCTAGTCATTCTCAGTCTTAATGCTGTCTTTTTTAAATTTTGCCTCACTAATTCCTACTGTAGGTTTTAGCCCTTAAAATTTCATCTTACTGTACATGGACACAAAGATTGTAGGAGGCTATCAAGTGGTTGATTACCGAAGTCTCAAAAATTATTTCACCATTTCATTCAAACAAAGATCCTTCAGACAACTGTATTCAATCATTAGTACAGATCTGATAAAGAAATGTTTACTAAAAAATATTATCCCGTACCGGGTATTATCCCGTACCGGGTACGGGCATTATTCCGTACCCGATGTTAGTAATGATGCACTGGACATTAAAAGTGGCTCAGCAGGCAGGCACTATGGTAAAAAATAAAGCCAACACATTGCATATTCAAGTGAATCTTTGACTTAAGGAAAAGAACAGGGGGTGCCTTTTCTAGTCTATTCAACATATTGCACCAAAAATGAACTACATCAAATGGTTCACTTGATGGTGGCGACAGACTCCATACACAGTTTCAAATGTAGCTATGATAAGAGCCTAATAGGCTTTGGAATCTGTACTGTACACCGGTTGCAACCCATTCTCGCACTTGCTTTTAGTCAATATTGGCTTATTTAATAAGTGCATATGTGACATACTAATTGATTGTGAATATTTTAGTTTACCTTGAAAAGCTTCATAGAAAACACCGACCTCACCTAACCTTCTTAGTATGTTAAGATAAGCATCTTATTGCTTCTTATTTACAATTATTACTTAACCTATCAATGGTATAGGTTAAGTAATAATTGTAATTTTGCACTTATTAAATAAGCCAATATTGACGAAAAGCAAGTGCGAGAACGGGTTGCCGGTTGACTGATAGTTGAGCGGAGGGACCAAAGAGCCCAAGCACAACTAGGCGAGTACATCCCCCCTTCACACACACCCGGGGCTGTAATGTTATACATCAAACACTGATGAATAATGCATGATGTATACAAAGGGTGTAAATAACTGTCAGGCTTATTTTTGCAACTGAAATGATATCAATCCTCACTGCTAACTTTGTAATGTACTTTCTTCAGGATTACTTTCATAGTAGTCTTGTATTTAGTACAATGATCTAATATTGCACAAGTTATGCCTCAACAACATTTATACATATGAAATTTGTGATGTGGAATATATGTATTTGCAAATTAAACCTAGGCATTTTCTAAAATGCCTAGAGAATGCCCAGAAAGAAATGCCCTTGAGAAAAATCTTGTGTGGTGTGTGTGTATTATACAGTGTGTGTGTGTATATATATATATATATATATATATATATATATATATATATATATATATATATAATATGTCGTACCTAGTAGCCAGAACGCACTTCTCAGCCTACTATGCAAGGCCCGATTTGCCTAATAAGCCAAGTTTTCCTTAATTAATATATTTTCTCTAATTTTTTTCTTATGAAATGATAAAGCTACCCATTTCATTATGTATGAGGTCAATTTTTTTTTTATTGGAGTTAAAATTAACGTTGATATATGACCGAACCTAACCATCCCTACCTAACCTAACCTATCTTTATAGGTTAGGTAGCCAAAAAAGTTAGGTTAGGTAGTCGAAAAACAATTAATTCATGAAAACTTGGCTTATTAGGCAAATTGGGCCTTGCATAGTAGGCTGAGAAGTGCATTCTGGCTACTAGGTATGACATATATATATATAATGAAGCAATTTATTTTATTTTGCTATTTAGGGATTGTAGAATAAGTCGTCTTTAAAGTTAAGATGCTATTTGTTAAATTAATTGTAAAGTCAGTCCCAAGAGGTTAATCAGTATTCACTTTGGTAGAATTATGTGAAAGTACAGGGTACTGTATTCTGTGTACACAACCTTTGTGACCATGTTGAGTAATTTGGATCCTATGTTTGTAATTTTCAAGTGTTGGACCAAACATGTACATAATATTTATTTTTGTAGACTAGAACTAGCAATATTAATGATTCGTTTCTTTCCCCACCCCATGAATAATTTAAATGCAATTATGGACAAAATACACACACACTTGCCGATGCTGTATTATAGACCAATGGTAACCAAGCCATTATGATGTAACAGATCATGCTCATCATAATGGCTTTATGATGATTTCTGTCATCATTGACAGTCATTTCATGACTTTGATTGCCAGTCATTTCTGGCAATCAAAGATCCTTGAGACAGCTCAAACCCATCAGTATGCAGTCACAAGTGCAGATCTATTAAAACAATATTTACTCCAAATATTATATACTGTAGCTGGGTCAAATTGCAAACCAAATACTAAGCATATTCAAATTATCCTTTGAGTTTAAGGAAAAGACAATGGATATTCAGCTGTACAAATCTCTGGCATGTTCTCATATGGAGATCTTACATGTTTAAAGAATATAACGGGTTTGAAAAACATTCAAGTGACAAAAATGATCCCAGGAGCAAGATAATTACCAGGAATGGATGAGTCCCTCAGGATTTAAAAGATACTATAAATTAGACATGACAGGACTGATCTCACCGAGATCTTTAATATACCAAACAAATTGGAAGATAATAATCCAGATCACTTCTTTAATTGGTCCATTAGGTTACAAGTGAAGGTTCATACACAGAGGATGACAAAGGTTAGTAAAATCCTAAAAAAAAGCAGTATGAGGATATGTTTAGCACCCCAATAAGCAGTATGAAAGTGGAAGATATGGACTACTTGAAAAACTCAGTTATATTTACTAATCAAAATATTAGAATGCCATATATATAATTGACAAATGTGAATGTCATACCTATATAAATAGGTGAACATGATGTGGATCTAATCGTCATCACTGCTCCAAGTGTCTTGAGTTGCTTGAAGTGTCCGACGTTGTGTGGCACGAGTTCCAACTGGGGCATTGTTTATGGTGACTGTGTCTTCCTCCTCTTCTTTAGAAACATTCCTTCTCAATAGCTTCTTTGGAACCCATATTACAAAATTATAGTCACTGCCAATGCTATACAAGTCCATAGAAACAGGATTATGAACCACACCTAAAACTGAAAGATAGTGGCCTAACAGAACATTTACCAGTCTTCCAGATAAAACTTCAAACACAAGAATTTTTGATTTACAGGGAACAAAAATAAGATCAGGATATGTACAATGAGAGACTGCCATGCGTATAGTTCTCTCCAGGTCTGTATGTGCACCTTCATATTTGACATTCATATTTTTCCCAGTAGCAGAGTCCCACAGTCTTAAAACGCCATCGTAACCAAATGACAACAGCCATGCTCCATCGTGTGTGAAGCAAAGAGAAGTTACTCGACCATTGTGGGCTTTAGGAACGTTTCTACTTTTCTTCTTAAACTTGGAAGTTTCAGGAACTATCTCCATATCAAGGGCCATGAGATATGCGCGACTAGCTCGTACGTCCCACATCCTCACTGTGTGGTCTCTGCCTCCTGACATCAAAATATGTTGATTGCGTGGAGACCACTGTGTGATCTGAACCGGACCATCGTGCCCCTGAAGGCGGTGGCTTGACGATCCATTGCGCATGTCATACAGTATCACTTCACCTGAAATATTCCATATTTAAATATTTGGCATTACAAATTTTACTACAACAAACATTTTGCTAATGTAAACAGCCACTAGACAAAGTACAAAGTGCACTTCAGGTAGGACAAACTAGGCCTCTATTTCCAAGGACCACCAAAAAGTAGTTGATAAAAATCATTCTTGACAAAGAAGGAAGGAGAGGTTTGTGGTCTCGGAAGACAATTCCCTGACACGGAGATGGGCATGTCGGAAAATCCGACACCATTTAATAATCATACAGATAATAGCTGTATTACCCAACAAGTTACCCATAGAAAACGTAACTTGTAGTGGAATTACCGTCTAAAGAAAACGGGATATCATCACCACATACTATTATATTCTCCACCTATTATGGTGGGAATTATTCTTAAATACATTAGTCTTTGGACTTTACCATCATAAAACATCTTATATAAATTAACTTAATTATCAATATTAAAGTAGAGTAAATGTGACCCTTCTATCACTTTCTGACATGTGGACAATGTAAGCCAGGCGTCAGGGTGAGGAAGGAGGCAGCCATTGTTGTGTCACCTCCGAGACGTGTGGAGCAAATTCGGCTCCTATCATATCTGGACAATGTCGGCCAGTAACGTCAATAGTATGGAGTGTTAAACAGCCATTGTTTATACGAGACCAGAGGCTCACACGGGAGCAAATTCGGCTCCTGTTAAATTTACTTGGACGTAGTGTTATGGAAACCAAAGGTGTACCATTATCAACACGCTGTCTACAAATTCAAGTTAAGTGTCTATCCGAAACCCGTTTATCATTCATTTATGGCCATTAATGTCAGGATATAGGGTGACCCGGTTAGATCACGTGGAAGCCTCAAACTAAAGGTAATTAAGCCAGGTCTTTAATGTTCCATGTAGTGTTTTCTCTGATATAGCTTGTCATATATAGGATTCTGGCTTCACAGCTAGCGCACTTTTGACAGGTCAAGACGAGGATGCAAGATTTTGTGCACCAGTTACTGGGTGATGGAAGCTACCTCAAAGAGGATAATTTGGTGTCTACACCCTAGTTATACCTGGTGGACTAACCTGCTGTACTATAAGATAAGGAACCTTTTCAATGTATGTAGTCTATTACTGTAGTTTGATTGGCTGCATATATATAAACTAATAAACCCCCCCTAATGTGTAGAGGATCGATTTGTGAGATTAAGAGATTATTGCAGAAATACAGTCCACGTATCATTATACAAATTGCTATCGAAGTATATAAATTAACGTAAATATAAATTCATATAAATTAAATAAATATAAATCCCACAGGTCGGTTCCCACATTATTTGGTCATCTTCGAACCGGATGACGGATTATTTGATCCTTTGAACCCACATTTGGTCATCTTAGTACCGGATGAACCAGTTAACCAGTGGATTCATTAAATATACTAGTGCAGTGTTATTTAAACAAAGCCAGCCAGTCAAGACGGCGGCGTAGCCTCGAGGGAGCTCAGGAGCCTCCCTCAGCTGAGTTCAGCTTAGTCAGCGGTTTCATGCACACCCACAGATATTTGGTGGCGTGTTATTTCGTGAAATGACAGCGCTAATATTGAAGCCAGCCAAAGTAGTGGCTGTGGTGTCGCGAGATTGTTCACGGATTTCGTGGTGTTACATTTCGCGAGAGATTATCTACGAATTTTGTGGACTTTATTTCGCGAGGTCACTAATAATATTTAATACTTCTAGATAATATTAGAAGTTTCATAGAGGCTAATTAAGAGGCTATTATCAATAATTGTGTATATTATTTCTCCAAAATAGAGAATTATTTAATATATATTGCACTAGTGATCACAGTATAATATTTACTAATTGCCAACCCACAACAGGGTAGGATATTAACATTGACTAGTTGAACTATTATCGTTCATCCTAGTCCCATTATTACCATAGTCAGTTGTACTATATTGAATAACCTAACACCATTAATGAATGGTGCTGACCCTATTTTGGGTGTAATTTTTATCAACTCGAGTTGAGTTGTGTATATATAATAATTTACTTATGATCATTACACCTTTGAGTGATTAATTAGTGTCTCTTCCATCCTAGGGTGATATAGAAGAGCTAACCTAAAGGTACTTCCAGTGACACTGGTTTATCACTCAAATCATTAGTGTGTATGATTGTATATATATAATGTGTATTAATTTTAAGTGCTAACCTCTAGTAGAGGTAGGATTATTGCCTAGTGAGTGCAGAATTTAACCCTAGGCTACCATTAGTACTTGCTCACAATTTATGAGCCAGTGGTGCCCAATTAACAAGTCACCATGACTAATCCACAGAAAGCAAAGCGTGCTTTAATATCAAGCAAACGCCAACTAACAAGAGATCTCAACCAATATGAACAGTTGTTATATGAGCCTGTAATTAATTATCGTCGGTTGAAAATACCACTGTTACAGATTCAAACCCAATTGCATATATTGAAAGCAAATAGGAAATCTTACCAAAATCAGGTCCACGACGACGACATAGTAGTTGAAGATGTGGAACCATTCCTGTCTGACCTTGCACAATATGAAGAAGAAACTCAAGCCAGGTTGGAACATTTACACAGGATAATTGAATCAGAACAAATAGCAAGTACACCAAATAAAGTAGATAATGTTATGGATGATCTGGATCTTTTTGAGAATAAATGTAAAGCCAGATTAGATCCTTTAATCAACAAGGATAAAGCTTCACCCAGTAAAGCTTCACCCACTACAGCTTCACCCAATATTATACCACCAGAAATTAAGCAGTTCTCAGACAATTTATCCACAGTCTCTGTGGTTTCTGAAAACCCAATACCTGAGGCTACTAAGTTAACATGCCTCCAAGCTAGAGGTGAAGCTGAACCAGTAGTAGAAAATGTAAATGAAAATAGCGACAGCACTAATTTCCCAGTCCAGCCTCCTAGGAATAATGCTGGCAATGAGAAAACTGTCATACATCTAGTACTACAATTGCTGGATTTACCTCAACCTGATCAGACTGCTGACTCATTACAATCCTTCAGCATGGAGTTTGAGTCACTACTAAGAATATTCAGTCTTAAGGTTGATATAACTACTAGTGAATGGATGACCAAAGTAGTCCTTCAACGAAAATTGTCCAGCGATATACTAGATGAATTATATGCACATCAACATAACACCATCCTGACAGTACAGGACATCACTGAAGGTTTACATTCCATCATAAACAAACGACGTGCAAATGAGGAAGTTAAAGCCTCTTGCAAGCCTTCAGAAATAGAAAATAAGAGTCAATTAAAGGGTAAAACAACTACCCCAAATAAACATCAGTCAATTACTCAAACATCAAGTTGCAGAAAATCTGACAATGCAGCAGCAACCTCCAAGCCTACTGTTACTAGTTCACCCAAACCGGTAACTTCCAAACGTGCAGTAGGCTGGGGGACATGTATGTTCTGCAAAAAGAAACATTCAACATACTGTTGTGCTAATTATCCAACCAGAGACACTCGTATGGAGCGACTCCAGGAATTAGGGAGATGTGCAAGGTGTCTCAAGTCACACAACATAGACTATTGTGATACCCAATTCAACACCTGCAACAGGTGTAGAAGAGGTAGGCACCATGCAGCACTGTGTAAATATACGAAATTAACGTATTCAAGACCCAAGGTGGAAGATAGCATTCCCACCACAGTACAGTACTGCAAGGTGCAACAAACAAAGAGTGTCCAATCAGCAAAGTCTAAAGGTAATACGACTTTGCCTACTGCCCAAATTACCATCCTGAATAAGAGGGCCAAGGTCCATACCCGTGGGTTGTTTGACCAAGGATCCCAGAGAACATATATCACTAAAAAGTTGGCAGATGAACTACAATTAAGGCCTGTAGCCCAGATGTCATTCAACATCTCAGGGTTTGTAACAGATGCAGGACCTCAAGTCTACCAGGTGGTACAACCATCAGTACGTTTAGGCAGGTACGTCTGTAGAGTACAAGCCATTGTGGTGGACAAAATACCAGTAGACCTACAAGTTCAAGGTCTGAGAGCAACAGCCAAATTCCTGAGAAATAGAGGAATAAAATTGGCAGATAATATTAAGTCTGATCACCTCACTGACTTCGGTCTCCTTGTTGGGACAGACTATTGCCATCGATTCATCGGTAGCCCTACTAAATATCAGGGTATAACCATGTTAAACTCTGCAGGAGGTAAATTACTCTCAGGCCCAGTATCAAGCCTGAGGAGACCTATGCCTGCAGATAAACAATACCAGTAGAAATCTAAATTTGTCAGCTGATTATATTTCTCCAGTAGCATTATACTAAGGAGATTACAGCTGACTATAGTAACAGAGGTTGATGTTAGTATCATCATTTAAAGCTGAAGATGAGTTCATGAGGCCTCAGTGGCAAATCAGTGAACAGTAGCCTAAAACAGCTACAAGTCACTGCGACCAATGTCACTGAACCCACTGCAGTCTCAGAACCATACTTTACTTTAATGATGAGCTATTCAATCTTCTGAATCAATTAACTAAATTAAACCCCAATAAATCTGATGACTGATTTGATACATTTATTATTTAATCAAGATGTATTCCATGGGCCTCAGTGTTTATATATCAGTGACCAGTTACCTGAACAAACTTCAAGTTATATCTAATGTCACTGATCTCACTGCAGTCCCTGAATCATACTTGACTGTAGTACTTGATCACATCCAGTCTTCTGGGTTAAATAATATGTAATAAGGCTTGAATATTAGCCTTTCAAGAGTTGACAGGGAAATGAAATCGCATTAGACTTCTAACCCCTGCAACTCTAGTACGGGACATCCGTCCTGTACGAACAGACGCACAAATGTGTGATTACTAACTACTAACATCAAATTAATCAAATAATTCGAAGGAGGAGTATCGGTGTTCGTCTGTTCTAAACAAGACTTCGACCCGTGAGCAGCCCCCTGGGGAATTATGTCGGAAAATCCGACACCATTTAATAATCATACAGATAATAGCTGTATTACCAACAAGTTACCCATAGAAAACGTAACTTGTAGTGGAATTACCGTCTATAGAAAACGGGATATCATCACCACATACTATTATATTCTCCACCTATTATGGTGGGAATTATTCTTAAATACATTAGTCTTTGGACTTTACCATCATAAAACATCTTATATAAATTAACTTAATTATCAATATTAAAGTAGAGTAAATGTGACCCTTCTATCACTTTCTGTTATGTGGACAATGTAAGCCAGGCGTCAGGGTGAGGAAGGAGGGCAGCCATTGTTGTGTCACCTCCGAGACGTGTGGAGCAAATTCGGCTCCTATCATATCTGGACAATGTCGGCCAGTAACGTCAATAGAATGGAGTGTTAAACAGCCATTGTTATACGAGACCAGAGGCTCACACGGGAGCAAATTCGGCTCCTGTTAAATTTACTTGGACGTAGTGTTATGGAAACCAAAGGTACCATTGTCAACACGCTGTCTACAAATTCAAGTTAAGTGTCTATCCGAAACCCGTTTATCATTCATTTATGGCCATTAATGTCAGGATATAGGGTGACCCGGTTAGATCACTTGGAAGCCTCAAACTAAAGGTAATTAAGCCAGGTCTTTAATGTTCCATGTACTGTATACTGTTTTCTCTGATATAGCTTGTCATATATAGGATTCTGGCTTCACAGCTAGCGCACTTTTGACAGGTCAAGACGAGGATGCAAGATTGGTGCACCAGTTACTGGGTGATATGGAAGCTACCTCAAAGAGGATAATTTGGTGTCTACACCCTAGTTATACCTGGTGGACTAACCTGCTGTACTATAAGATAAGGAACCTTTTCAATGTATGTAGTCTATTACTGTAGTTTGATTGGCTGCATATATATAAACTATAAACCCCCCCTAATGTGTAGAGGATCGATTTGTGAGATTAAGAGATTATTGCAGAAATACAGTCCACTTATCATTATACAAATTGCTATCGAAGTATATAAATTAACGTAAATATAAATTCATATAAATTAAATAAATATAAATCTCACAGGTCGGTTCCCACAAACCACATGGGAGCCTGCAAAAGAATGTGGTAGATTTTGCAGAATACAGCATGTGGTAACAGCATACAGTACTACATCTAGTGCTAACAACATAAGAGGCTATGACTGATCAAATTCATGTGGGGGAACTTAAGCCCCTTATGTGACGTCCATATTTTAAGATGGACTACAAATATAGAAACCCACATAAAGGTAAAAAAATGATGAATTTCTATATTACCAGCGAGGACACTATTAAGGAATGAGAGAGGAACTGCAAACCATCTTCTGGAGGGAGGTGATGAGCAAACATGGCACGGAAGCATCAAGGCAAAATTCCTAGAGGGTCATCACGGAACTCGTTCAAAAATACATGCCGAAAATGTGAGGACCTTCGACAAGCTGCCGACTTCCTATCCTCATTGAGGCCACAAGGGTTAGTGGCCCTCAGATAAATAAGGAATATAGCCCACAAAGGGCCTCACTCCATGTAACATGGCAAGAAGCAGCTGAAACAGTACGAAGAAGGAAACAAAAAAAACACACCCTGTATCAAGTATCAAGATGGGATACAAACTTGAAGAAAACCAGCAACCGGAAGAGTTGGATCCCAATTCTGGTGATCCTTTGCTGAAGATCGGCTTTAATATTCATCTAAGGAGACAATCCCGTCTCTAAACCGGAAGGACGAAACTGTTGCAACCAGCAATCGGGAAAAGGCTGACCTACTGAACAACAACCCTGGGGAGCATGTATCTAAAGATAAAGGTACCAACAACCATCAAGAGCATGTATCTAAAGATAAAGGTACCAACATCCATCAAGAGCATGTATCTAAAGATAAAGGTACCAACATCCATCAAGAGCATGTATCTAAAGATAAAGGTACCAACAACCAAACCACAGCCTTAGGACTTACCATTTTCTGCCGACACAGACAACAGGGAATGTTTGGTGGCGACTGGCGACATGTGGTGGTGAAGAACGTCACAGTCAATACTGAACTGGTCAACCGGCTTCATGTAATTAGGGTTCCAGATCTTGACTTTCTTATCGTGACTTGAGGTAACAAACAGGCCCGCATCTGCAGGGAACCACTGAACACAATCAACCTGAAATATTATATTAAATATCTTACTCTGGTAGAATACCTTGCCAATGCTGCTCATCAGCTGCTCATCTTGCAAATCTTATGATATCAAAACTCAAACAATAATTTTCTACAATGTTCTTACTAATGAAATTTTGCATAGATCTATACAAACATGAGAACTATACATCAAGTGATCAACAACATTCTATATATCAATATGATAATTACAGAAACAAATGTTCTTGCAAAATAATTACATTACAAGATACATAAAAATGCAAAAAGACTTAAAGCTAAGGTAATTATCAGGAAAAAGTGCTATGACAGTGTGACTGCACACCACTGGGAACGGAGATAAAAACAAGGTGGACATCTTCAAGAGGAAACTAGATTTATTCCTCCAAGGAGTGCCGGACCAACCGGGCTGTGGTGGGTATGTGGGCCTGCGGGCCGCTCCAAGCAACAGCCTGGTGGGCCAAACTCTCACAAGTCAAGCCTGGCCTCGGGCCGGGCTTGGGGAGTAGAAGAACTCCCAGAACCCCATCAACCAGGTATATGTGGGCCTGCGGGCCGCTCCAAGCAACAGACTGGTGGACCAAACTCTCACAAGTCAAGCCTGGCTTGGGGAGTAGAAGAACTCCCAGAACCCCATCAACCAGATATCATCCAGGTAAGGTCCTGGGAAACAATGAGGTGAGAAAACAGTTCCCAATACCATGGACCATCGGCGACTGACTGCTGACATGCAAGCATTAAGGCTACTGCTGTACCGACGTAGGTCAAGGGCCATGCACCCAAACATAGAAGGATGAGATATGTCATACAGAGCAAAGTAAGAGAAAAAAATTAAATGGATAAACACTGACTAAACTAAGAAATCTAAATCTACAGAAAGAAACTGAAACGTATATGTCTTGAAGGACATGTAAAATAACTTCAAGAGCACAGCTTAAAATGAATTCTATTTGCATAATAAACTTTAACTTTATATTGAAAATGGCTTCCGGCATTGTTACATCTTTCACCTACAGCCACACAATTACAACCTTTTTTTTTACTCTCCCTCCTCCCCATGAATTTCCAAGGTTTCATAGTATCAAGATTTCCTATCACTATAAAAAGTAAACTAGTGAGCATTGGTGTCCCTTGGAACTAATAAGAAATGCCCCTCTCCCCCACTTAATGTATTTCTTCTTTGTTTACACACACTTAGCACAGCCCCTTCAAGGTCTGCTGAATTTTGCAGACCATGAAGGGGTCTGCATCCATAATTAACATCTTTCTTCTTTGTGCCCAACTAAATTTTTTACTGTCTATTTCTGGTCATGAAATCTCAAACTTGCGTTTGCTGAGGAGGTCCTCAGTTTCTTCAGAAATTCTTGTTCAGTGCATCCCCCACGGCAACTGTCTGACATGACTGAGAGCAACATTATCAAGGGAACTCAGTGCTGGGCTTCTACAAATGTCGGCTACAATATTTGGGTCTGACTGTGTGTGAAGCTAAATATCAATCAGATGGAGTTCCTAAAAGGATCATATCAATCATACAGAGAGAATGAACAGTTTAATATAGTATGATACAAAAAATATAAAAATATACTAACTACTGCATGCCATAAAAATAGAGTTGGAATGTGAATACCAAATTTTTCAGTGTATTTTTTTAGGGTAAAGTTTGGATATTACAGTTTAGTTTAGTTCATTTATTATGCACCCCATACCCATCTTGTGGGCGATAGTGGAAAGGGTTACAGAGGCACATAATGGGCTCAGGGACTGAACCCCACAATTCATTTAGCTAAGCAAGTTACAATCTTGATGAGCTAGTTACAAAATTCAATATAAGTGTATTACAGTATGTGCAATAATTTACTTGCATTGCTGAAATATAACTGCAATTAAAAAAAAAGTTAGGGTCAGTTATAGACTAAAATATTTTTTTTTTCCTGTTCAACATATAATTATTACCGTTACCTGATATTTGTGGCTTCCTCTCTGTCCGCCCTTAACAATGCTAACTTCGCTAAATTCATATTCTTTCTTTCTGTCAAAAGTGTCATATATGGCTACACCTCCATCATTGAAGCCACACAGCAAATACCGGGAATCCACACATTCCAAATCAGCGTGCGTCACATATGGGTTGGTGGATATCTGTGGATTGAATGCAAATTCAGCAAACAAAAATTACAAGTTGAATGCAGTAAAATACTATTTCTGGTGGGCCCCAATGGCTGTCCTAGCTTAACTCTACTACTACAAAGCCTTAGTCCAACACAGAGGTATGCCACCAGGCTAGTCCCCGAGCTGAGAGGAATGAGTTATTACGAAAGATTACTGGAACTGAACCTCACTAAACTGAAAGACAAGAGTTAGGGGAGACATGATTACTACCTACAAAATTCTTAAGAGGAATTGACAGGAGTAGATAAAGATAAACTGTTTAATATGGGTGGTACACAAAAAAGGGGACACAGGTGGGAACTTATAGTACCCAAATGAGCCTCAGGGACATTAGAAAGAACTTTTTCAGTGTTAGAGTAGTTAACAGATGGAATACATAAGGCAGTGATGTGGTGGAGGCTGACTCCATACACAGTTTCAAATGTAGATATGATAGAGCCCAGTAGGCTCAGGAATCTGTACACCAGTTTATTAACAGTTGAGAGGGGGGACCACAGAGCGAGAGCTCAACTCCCGCAAGCACAACCAGGTGAGCACACAACAAACTTCCGAGAAAAACTGCCGACTGTTGGGAGCCAGGAACAGAATGTGGCTCAATATACAAGACATTGGCACCAGCGTTCGGAGAACAAACATAAAAAGTGGGAAAACTGACGCTCACTGCTGCAGAGAAATGAATGAATCTCTCATGAGAGTCAATAGTTTGTTTACATAGCTGGGGGAAAGTTTGTTAGGGCCAGTTTTGAGGCTTTGGTCTCTGAACCCAGCAGTGGTTGAATTGATTTCCCTAGTGAGGTGGAGGAGTTTCACCTGCTCCCTGCACCTCTGTGAGGGGGGCCAGGTTTTGGCTCTGGTCCCCAGTAGGCCAAACACAACTCCATGACTGATGCTATTTAGCAGATGGGAGCCATCTCAGCGAGACAGCTTCAGGAACCCACTGGGGTCTCACCCAAAAATTGCCATTTCATTACATTCGACACTAGGTTTTTTTATCAAGTTTATAGTTGTCTTCTATAATTTGCTATCCCAAGGAAACTTTTTTTCTTTGCGTGAAGTAGAAAAATTCTTATATATAAAACCTTTTCTTAGCAGATTATTTAACAAAAAAAATTCTTCCAATTACAAATTCAATGAAGCTGAAGTAACCAAAGACCTTACCCTATGTCTGGTAGTGGCAGGTGTTTTAAAGTCAGAAATTACCTGTTCCTTTTGCTGTAGTAAAATATCCGTCAGTTTGTGAGTGGCAGCAAGGCAAGTTTTAAGACGTGATCTGTACCAATGACTCGACAGTTGACCAAGCCGCACATTCTCCAAGCTTCTGACTGTGCCCAAGCCAACATCAGTGGATTTTAAGTTCCACTGCTGTATGTCTGACAAGTCACTGAAGTCGTCACGAATCATGTTCAAAACTGTATCTGGTCCATACTGATCTCAAGAATCACAAATATGACCTAAAATATAAGCAGACAACTCACATTAGAAAATTTATATTGATGACACAGTATTTGTATACATACACAGTCAGCAGACAGTCACCATACAGCCACCAGTAACTATCAGTCATCACACACACAGTAATTAAACATACGTGCAATCATCAGACAAATCAGCTATTACAATCGTCAAAGTCATCAATTCACAAGCACTGTCATCACAGACACAACTAGCCAGAAGATTCAAACACAATCAAGTTGCCTCAGTAGGACAATCAATACTGCTGTCATAAATTTATATTTAGTGCCTTGGGGAAGCCATGAATACCAGTCCAAGAGATGTTATCTTGAGGTTATCTCGAGATGATTAAGGGGCTTAGCGCCCCCGCGGCCCAGTCCTCGACCAGGCCTCTTCTTCTTACACATCCCCAAGAAGCAGTCCGTAGCAGCTGTCTAACTCCCAGGTAGCTATTTACTGCTAGGTGAACAGACACATCAGGATGAAAGAAACTCTGTCCATTTGTTTCCGCCTCCACCGGGAATTGAACCCAGAACCTCAGGACTACGAATCCGAAGCACTGTCTACTCAGCTGTCAGGCCCCTTATACGTACAGTAACATCTGCACGCCAACAAAATAGCCTGCTTCATTGAAGTTTGTTTCAATTTTAATCAAATTCTTGAATTTTAGTTGACTGAGATTTGAATGAGTGTGTTGAGTGAGAGTTGAACCGAGTGAAAATAGAGAGAATTGTTCGAGGTAAGTTTTAATTGTAGTACATATAGAGATGGCTAGAGCAGCTTGTGGAGCTGCATTATATATGTATAATAACCGAGAGTTAGGCAACTTTATTTAACTGTAATAGATACTGTAATAATCTAGATACAGTACTGTAACAGATGCAAGTTTTTATATCAGAAACACAGAAATATAAGCTACATTTTAAATCCTTTGTCATAAATATACTGAAGAAAAAGCAAAATTATGTGCATTTTTATATGTTCATGATAGCCAGCTTAGGGAGTGTGAAGGCCTGCACACCAGCCAATCAATTGTGTAATTAATTTGCATATATGCTAATAATAATAATAATAATAATAATAATAATAATAATAATAATAATAATAATAATAATAATAATCTTTATTTAGGTAAGGTACATACATAAAGAGATTTACAAAGTTTGTTGGCTTTATAGATAGAGCTAGTACATACAATGCCTAAAGCCACTATTACGCAAAGCGTTTCGGGCAGAATAACCTCAATTCGGGCAGAATAACCTCTAATTAACCTCAAAGGTCTATATGTCAGAAGAAAGACATAAACCTTAATGTGACTACATTTCAAGGAATATATATATCTTAAATGAAAGCCAAGATATGGTTAAAATATGAATATCTTTCCTCCCTAATGAGATCAAATCTCTATGATGGATTCGCAAAAACTATTTTATCTTTTCCTTCCTGATAACATATACAAATATAAGCTTTATATGTTAGTTTCTATTAAATAAGCAATATATCAGAGAGCGTGTAGGGTTCGTTGTTCCATGAGCGAAGAGACATGGGGGAGAGTTTATATAAGTACAAAGTAGTTTAAATAGCGAACGCATACCAACGAATAATGATTAGTATCTATACAACAAAACTATTGTCCTATGGAGTTGATTTAACTTCCAGACACGTATTTATAAATAAATCTTAAATATTTTGTGACTATTTATGTTAGATATTATTATAAACATGCATTTTATTTGTTAATATCACCAATTAAATTTGCGATAATTTGAGCTGAGAAGTGCGACTATCAAAGAGCCAGAGCTCAACCCCCGCAAGCACAACTAGGTGAGTACAGGAAGCTGATATGCTAGCAAACAATCTCCAGGCAACAATATTGTCAACCTGACAGTTGACTGTCAACTGTTGATTGACAGTTGAGAGGCAGGACCAAAGAGCCAAAGCTCAACCCCCACAAGCACAACTAGGTGAGTACAGTAATATACTGTATATATATCCGAGCTGAGAGGTATGAGCTACGAGGAGAGACTACGGGAATTAAACCTCACTTCGCTGGAAGACAGAAGAATTAGGAGGGACATGATCACCACATTCAAAATTCTCAAGGGAATTGATAGGGTAGATAAAGACAGGCTATTTAACACAAGGGGCACATGCACTAGGGGACACAGGTGGAAACTGAGCGCCCAAATGAGCCATAGAGATATTAGAAAGAACTTTTTTAGTGTCAGAGTGGTTGACAAATGGAATGCATTAGGTGGTGATGTGGTGGAGGCTGACTCCATACACAGTTTCAAGTGTAGATATGATAGAGCCCAATAGGCTCAGGAACCTGTACACCTGTTGATTGACGGTTGAGAGGCGGGACCAAAGAGCCGGAGCTCAACCCCCTCAAACACAACTAGGTGAGTACAGTAATATATCTTGGATAAGTCGCTCGACAACATTGTCGCTTGGATCGTCGACTTCCTATGGCATCACCTGCCACATATGTGCCTCTAATTTTGTTATGAAATTAGATTTCAGGGTCAAAATAGGTTTGATCATGTTCAGCATTCACCACTAACATTATAGTGAGTAAATATATCATATTACTTCATTACTTATGTAATGCCAGGAGGCTTTGGTTAGCAAATTAAATGTAGCATGTAGTGGCTTTGGGAACTATGAAGCACAAGGACCCATCACATGGTATGAAGCTGTTGCCATGTTGCTCATTCTATTATTTGTTACGAAACTACAAAACTACAATTACGGTTTACTGATATTCTTATTGGTAAACAGTATATATATATATATATTCCCCTCCCTCTCCTCCCCACCCTTCCAAAATGACAACTTTTGACATCCTGGAAATAAAACCAGCAAGTGGTTTTGTAAGACGTGACCCAGTGCCAGGCTGGAGGGTGCCAAGGACAACCAAAGGTCAGGATAATGAGTGCCATGACGAGGCACCGTTACACAGTCCTGAACCCACAGTGCCTTCACTGTTCACTCCGTACCCAGAGCTACTCAAACCTACCCAAAAGCTTCCATAGCATCACGTGAGTAATGAAGAACAATGTTATATCATTGTTCTTCATTACTCACGTGATGCTAAGGAAGCTTTTGGGTACTTAGCTTCCAACATTATAGCTTCTCGCTATAATGTTGGTGCTGAATGAATAACATGAAAAAACATATTTCTACTCTGAAATAATATATTTATAACGAAGTTAGACGAAACTAAATGGCAAGTGACGCCATAGCAAGTCGACGCTCCCTCAAAGTGACACTTGTAGCTTTAAGGAATTAAATAAAGACCCAATTTCATTATAAAATTATATTATTTCAGAGTAAAAAAATATGTTTTTTCTTCATGTTCTACATTCAGCACCATCAGTAGAGTGAGTAAATATATCATAGTTCTTCATTACTAACATAATGCTTTGGGTAATTAAGACTGATCCTGACTTGGCATTCAGCCAGTTAGAATCAAGCACAAAGTGCCCGGGCGGCTAGCAAGGTCAACCTCGAGGGTGCCAGGCACTTGCTGGGGCCACAGTGGCACTGGCACTGGCTCCAGTAGTAAGATAAATGAGAAAATAATGCAGTTAAGGCAGCTGGTGACGTGTGTGTGTGTTTACCTCTCGGCTCCTCTAGGGATCACTACTCTAAAGTCACACAACTCGTCACATATGCAGTTGTGAACTGCTCATAACTCCACATATGCAGTTGTAAACTGCTCATAACTTCACATATGCAGTTGTAAACTGCTCATAACTTCACATATGCAGTTGTCAACTGCTAATAACTCCACATATGCAGTTGTAAACTGCTCATAACTCCACATGGGCAGTTGAAACTGCTCATAACTCCACATATGCAGTTGTAAACTGCCCATAACTCCACATATGCAGTTGTAAACTGCTCATAACTCCACATATGCAGTTGCAAACTGCTCATAACTCCACATATGCAGTTGTAAACTGCTCATAACTCCACATATGCAGTTGCAAACTGCTCATAACTCCACATATGCAGTTGTAAACTGCTCACATACGTAGTTGTACACTGCTCACAGCTCTCCACATATGCTCTCATTACATATGCAGTTGTAAACTGCGCATAACTCTCCACATATGCAGTTGTAAACTGCTCATAACTCTTCACATATGCAGTTATAAACTGCTCACAACTCTCCACACATGCAGTTGTAAATTGCTCACAACTCTCCACGTATGCAGTTGTAAATTGCTCACAACTCTCCACGTATGCAGTTGTAAATTGCTCACAACTCTCCACGTATGCAGTTGTAAATTGCTCACAACTCTCCACGTATGCAGTTGTAAACTGATCACAACTCTCCACACATGCAATTGTAAATTGCTCACAACTCTCCACGTATGCAATTGTAAACCGCTCACAACTCTACATATGCAGTTGTAAATTGCTCACAACTCTCCACGTATGCAGTTGTAAACTGCTCACAGCTCTCCACATATGCAATTGTAAACTGTTCGGATTACAGACTCGATCTTGGGGTCCAGTCCTTGAACCAATTGTCCTATAAAATAAAATTATGCGTGTTAGTGGCTTTGTAAGAATGTAAAAATACCAATCTTATGTAATAATAGTATATTGAAGAATGACATAACATGCATTTTGTCTCAGTTCTACTAGACTTTGTTGCAGTTCTCAATATGTTACTTCATGCCCTTGGCTGGCTGCTCAGAGGCAGCAATATTTGTATTTGATTTATTTATATATACAAGAGCTGATACATTCTTGTACAATAGTACGCATAGCGTTTCGGGCAAGTCCTTAATCATATTTTTTGTCGTGGAATACGACCCTGCAAAATTGTTTAACAACCATCAACTCTGATTCATTTATTATACACCCCATACCCATCCCATGGAAGGTAGTGGGAAAGGTGCAGAGGCATATAATGCTCTCAAAACTGAACGTCAGGTCACAATGTTAGGGAATGTTATGGGATGTTAGGGAATGTTTAGGGGAATGTTTAGGGTCACAATGTTAGGGAACAATTTTTTTTTATTTGAATTTGGAATGTAAAAGGGGAGTGAATGGAATGTTAGGGAATGCCACTAGAAAGGGGGGGGGAAGAGAGAGAGATCTTCGACAAGCCGCCGGCTTCCTGTTCTCGCCGAGACGACTAGGGTTAGTGACCCCTCAGGTAAATCAGGTATGGTTGGCCAACAAGCAGGTCTAGGCAAGCAGTGTTAGGTAATTACAGAGCAGAGTTACCACACCGCCGCCCCACTACTGTCTCAACTCATCTCTAACAAATAACGAGTCATTGGGAAGGCTCATGGTGAAATAGATCACCATAATCTCTCTCTCTTTCTCTCTCCTAATTCTTTTCCAATCACACATATCAGTACCGTCCACAGCCGTACAAAATATGGATAACGGGAAAGTGGTTTTGACATATTGCTCGCTGGTAACTCCAGCCACCGTAATATTTTTCCCACCCGATGAACAAGCACTTGCTAGCAAGCATTGCAACAGCCACTTTTGCTGAAAGATAAATATTACTTCACATTGCGACCTAGATTACAGTCGAGGGAGGAGAGAGAGAGATAGAGTTCACGGTGGAGAGATGCCCTGTGACAGACGCGAGGAGCCGGCTGCCGGAGGAACCTTTGCCTGCTCTGGGAATAAAAAAAAACTTGTTGCCGGCTGTGAGTGAGAGCAGCTGAGCCTCACACCAGCTGCGGACGGCCGCCTCATACTTCTCCTCACCTCATAACCCTCCTCACCTCACACTCCTCACAAGGTATGTCACCACAGGCCACCACCAGGCTCGGGAAGACGTCCCCAGGAGCAGTACAGCTCAACGTCAAGGATTCTTGTTAGTATAGCAGGGGCGGCAGGGCTCCGGGTTTTACCCAAGTGCAACTATCACTAGTGGCTCTCGACGGGAACAGGAAGCCGGCGGCTTGTCGAGGGTCCGCCCATTTGCCTTGATGATCTTGTTGCCCGGTGCTGTGCCCTTGTCTGAAGGTCAGTGGGTCACGGGTGTGAGGTCGTGACCTGCGGACGGGTTGGGTCAGGTCGCCCTCACTTGCTACACATAATAAACCTAATATAAACACACTGCCACAGCAGCACACAGGTCACAGTGTACATAAGGTGCTTCATCAGCAGATTTTTAAACCTGCCCATTACAATACATTCTGATTTAACCATATATATGGTTATAACAAACGGGGGAACGATCCATGTTGAATGGCCTTGTGCACATTTTTACCATCCTAGCGTGATAATTTTTTGAGATATATAGAAGAGTTGTTATATTCTTGTAGAGCCACTAGTACGCGTAGCGTTTCGGGCAAGTCCTTAATCCTATGGTCCCTGGAATACGATCCCCTGCCGCGAAGAATCGTTTTTTCATCCAAGTACACATTTTACTGTTGCGTTAAACAGAGGCTACAGTTAAGGAATTGCGCCCAGTAAATCCTCCCCGGCCAGGATACGAACCCATGACAAAGCGCTCGCGGAACACCAGGCGAGTGTCTTACCACTGCACCACCGAGACTAAATAATTATCCCCAACTAAGCTTAACCTACGCTTAATTTCATCTAAATTTCCGAGAATGCTGGAGACTGGTGCAAGAGTTTTCAGTGATTGTGTAGTGACATGACTCCTGTTTGCTGGACCTCGTTGGGTTGTCGCACAGTCATAATTGGTGTCCTGTTGTAGGGGACCTCTCTAAGCATATTAAGCTTAGAGAGGTCCCCTTTAGCCACCACATGGCAGTAGGATACAGTAGTGATTCCTTGTGTCTAGCGCCGTGCCCCAACATGTGACGTTCTTAAGGATGTCTGTCGGTCAACCATATTTCAATAAATTGCCTGTACGTACATTTTTAGTCTAAATTTATGCAAATGATTGAGTAGAATATTCCATGAATTACAGCCCTAAAACTAAAGTGTTTTACCGTGTATGACCCAAAATCGGCACTGGCTGAATTCCTTTCATGAAGTCTCGGCACCAACCTTTGCTTGGTACTGGGTAAAATATTCTGCCCCGTAAAAACTATTTACTACTGTATTTACTATTTCAAATTTATCTTGATATCAAAATATTAAAAAAATTTGATTTGTATTGGAAAGTTTGGATGCTGTGGATGGGCAAATGTGTCCATTAGAGTAAGACTTCACTGTAGTTTAGACTTTCCCGAGGAGGCGGAAAACTAGTATTTAAAAGTAATTGCTACTTTACAGATGCGTCTAGTGATTCTTGATGACGGTGAAAGGGTGGCAGAATGGTCAGCCCGGTACATTATAAAGAGGATCAATGACTTCAAGCCTGGCCCAGATAAGTTCTTCGTTTTGGGCTTGCCTACAGGTCAGTTCCCACTTGGTGCGCTTTGTCAACTGATGTACCAAGGTTCAGCCGAGGTTATTGTAGCTTGTACATTAATTTATACATTTACATTAATTTATATATTTACATTAATTTATATATTTCACTAAAGAATTTAGGGCTGTGTTGCTTATCTCTCTAATTATTATAATTTGGCACTTCTCTGGCTGTTATTGCCTAATAAAAAATAAACCTGTTATACAGTACAGCATTACAAAATATTTAAGATAAATTACGGAAAATTTTTCTCCTTTTGTCAAACTGAGGGTTGTCAAATAATGTTTTGTTAGTGCTTATAATATTTTAATTTTAAATACTGTATTCGGTTTGGAAAAATTATTTTTGGTATTTGTGTATCTGCAATTATATCCATTATATAAAATGGTTTGAAGAGTATGATTGGTAGCATCATAAATACTGTGCCCTTATTTTCAGGCAGCACTCCACTTGGAACGTATAAAAAGCTAGTACAGTATCACAAAGCGGGCAAAATCTCGTTCAAATATGTCAAGACCTTCAATATGGATGAATATGTTGGTATGTTTAATTTTTTTTATTTAACCATTTTTAGATTTAATTTTGTTCATAATACAAATATGCATTCCTTGTAACTTTTAAGTAGTTATATTAAATATTATTGATACATTTGTTAGTGCCATAAATGGACTTGTGATCACTATACACTATATCACTATACAGTACTTTGAAATTTATTACTACTGTACTAAACTTTGGATGGCAACCACATTTTGTTGTGAGCTGTCTGACCTTTGATAGCATCCGGGTTTAATCAATTTTGACATCCAAATTATAGTAGCTGTAAGTCTCTGGCTCTTCAGTTTGCTTTTTTTATTATTTGATTTTCCTTTCCTTAAAGTACAATAGATTTAATGGTATAGGCAATATTTGTGTATCCTGGTGGTTTTTCTAAGTTGCAAAAAAAAGTCTCGTTTGTTATTTCTTTTCTTGCATCCTGACATGTACCGAGTGTCAGGAGGAAGAAATGCTGTATAATGTTGACCTGGGGAAAATGGGTCTAAGCCATTGATGCCGTCTCGATATTTTCGTGTGTATTTTTTCTTGTTTTCTCCTGTTTTATGCAGTATTGTTGCATAAATATTTAACTTCATTTAGTTTATATTTCATTGGCTGGAGACAGTTACAATTGATAATGCAGACCACTTTGTGTGTTTCAGGTATTCCCCGGGACCACACTCAGAGCTACCACACATTCATGTGGCAGAACTTCTTTAAGCACATTGACATTGATCCGGCCAATGCCCATGTCCTCGATGGCAACGCACCAGACCTGGAGCAGGAGTGTCAGAATTATGAAATGAAGATAAAGGAAGCTGGAGGGATTGAGCTTTTCATGGGAGGTAATTATGGCCTATGGTTATCCAGTTTATTGTTGCAAGAAACCCTTACCAATTTCACTTATTTGATGATCTAATTGGCATGTAATATTCACAGAATGTAATCAGAAATGTGAGTACCTCTTGAGGTTATCTTGAGATGATTTCGGGGCTTTAGTGTCCCCGCGGCCCGGTCCTCGACCAGGCCTCCACCCCCAGGAAGCAGCCCGTGACAGCTGACTAACACCCAGGTACCTATTTACTGCTAGGTAACAGGGGCATTCAGGGTGAAAGAAACTTTGCCCATTTGTTTCTGCCTCGTGCGGGAATCGAACCCGCGCCACAGAATTAAGAGTCCTGCGCGCTATCCACCAGGCTACGAGGCTCCCTCGTACAGATGGACTTGAACACTTGCCTCCATCAATATCACTCGAGACATATAATTGTTCTATTTTCTGTTAATTTTTCCTTTCATTTGTTAGAAATCATTTTGATTTTTCTTTTGAATACACAAGGATTTGAGAATAAGATGGGTATCTACACTGTTTTTGGATGGGAAGAGAAATGATCCATTGGTGTCATTTTAATTATGCTTGCTGGTGAGGGACATGTATTGCAATGCTAGGTTTTTAGATTTAAGCCTAGGCATGTTTGTAAATGCCCCGCACACCCAAATATTGACATTTTAAAATCTGTTGATGGCAAGTTAGTGTCTCTTGGCCTCCAAACATAAAATGCCTTTTGATCCAGCCCATGGGTCAAGATTTTGAACATAAATTACAAGGGCTGTTAAAAGATAGAGGAAACGTGAAGGATACGGTGTATAGTCGACGGAAAATCCTGGAGAATTTGAAAAGGTATTCTGTTGAGGCAGCAATACACAACTGTACTAAAGCTTGGAATGAGCTAAAGGATGCTGTTGAAATACACATGGGGTAAACCTTGTGACATCTGCTGTTACAGTAAACCTAAAGGTGAAGTTTATGATGATGACTTTTGAGAAGTTTGATGTTAAGCACCATGGAATATTAAGAGCCTGATGATATTGATTTAGAAAATAAGGTTAGATAATTATTTTCAAAATCCATGGATGTTGAAAGAGGGGAGTACCAAATAAATGCCTAGCTATGTAGGGCACTGTCATGTGCATTTAAGAAAAGGTTTTCCGAAGTCAAAGTATAAAATTAATTGATGCCAAACTTACACAATGTGCTGAATTATTTTATTTACTTTCAGGAATTGGACCCGATGGTCACATTGCCTTTAATGAACCTGGCTCCAGTCTAGTGTCCCGCACTCGTGTTAAGACACTTAACCAAGAAACCATAACGGCAAATGCACGCTTTTTTGATAATGACATGTCGAAGGTCCCCAAGCAAGCTCTGACTGTAGGCGTTGGTACTGTCATGGATGCCAGGGAGGTCAGTGCTCTGTGAAATTGAGGACGATGGATAGATGTGCATCCATTTGTCCATCTATCCACCTGTCAATCTATTCATTCATCCATGTCTTCCCCCCCCCCCTCCCCTCTTTCTTCCCCTAAAGCACCTCCCATCCCTGCCCCCCTCCCCTCACCTCATCTTTGCACCCCCCTTCCCCTCCCCTCATTCTTTCCTTTCCCTCCTACCCCCTCCCATCCCTGCCCCCCCTCTCACCCCTCCCCTCCCTTCCATCCTACCCTTCCCCCATCCTCCCTTCATCCTCCACCTTCAGTCTTTCTAATCCTCTCCCCCCCTCCCACTAACTTGGCCCCTCTTCCCTTTCTTAAAATGAGGAGCAATGAAACTTTGTGTGTTTAAGGAAATAATTTTTTTTCTAATTACTGTACATACAGTACAGTACATACAGTACTGTACATACAGTACAGTACATACAGTACAGTACATACAGTACTGTACATACAGTACAGTACATACAGTACTGTACATACAGTACAGTACATACAGTACTGTACATACAGTACAGTACTATAAAGTGTTTGGTTTTCACCACCAGTATTCACACTTGACCAGAATTAAATCTGTAAGAATCGGATGAGGAGAGGGGGGGGAGTTATTGGGGTGTGAATGATTAATAATTCTTAAATCATTTAACTTAGGCCTATCCTGACTATTTGATGTTCATCCCATACGCCAGACTATTCCCCCTATAAAGGTGGCCGAAGCCAGCCCTAAAAATCTAGTCTCTAATTTATCCATATCTCACTTGGAAACTATAATGATGTACAGTACTGTATATATTAATTTTAGATCAGTCTTTACTTTCTGAATTGCCCACAAGTGTTGTGTTGCTGCCAGTATATTTTCCAATTAAACAAAATAATCGGTGTATTTAATTTGTATCATACAATTTAAAGTTTTTGAGAAATGCAAAGGTAATTTTATCAATAGCGTTTTGCTTGTTGGTGGGCTTTTATCACGTCTAACATGCACCGACCTCGTCGTGCCTTCGCCTCCTCGGTCACCGCTGTGTGGTATTGGCAGAGCGCACACCATTAAAATAAAACACAATTTGAAAGACGGCTAACATAAACTAATTAATCCACTAAGTTAAAGAAATTTGTACAGCCTTGGCAATATACATACAGATTCGAGGACTAGCCTAAATCCAAATCTCTGAATATGCATTATGTGTAACAGATCTGCTTTCAACACACAGAGCATTGTTATGACAATCTTATAAGATCCTGTGTTGGAACATGGGCTGTTTACCCACTAAAGTAGAAAATGGAATAAGGATGATAATTGTTGTTGTTTATGTTAAGGTGGGTGTTTAAAATGGTACGAGACTTGACATGTACAAGGCCAAACAGGGTGGGGGATCATCCACAATTGCTGATTAGTATATTCATTTATTGTAGGTGATGGTGTTGATCACTGGGTCACACAAGGCCTATGCCCTTCACATGGCCATTGAGGATGGGGTGAACCACATGTGGACAGTGTCGGCCTTCCAGCAGCACCCACGGACCATAATGTTGTGTGACGAAGATGCCACACTCGAGCTCAAAGTCAAGACTGTCAAGTACTTTAAGGTAAGCAAAAATAGCTATTACACGATACACATATTCTCATAAGGAGACGGTGAGTCGCAATAACGTGGCTGGAAATGTGAAGGTTGAGACGGCGACGTTTCGGTCCATCCTGGATAAACCATGGACTTGATGATGATCCAGAACGGACTGAAATGTCGTCGTCTTATCTTCTTGGGTGGGATTTGGTCATCATTCTCAAAAGATTTCCTTTTGATTTATCATATAAATCTGCTAAATTTTTCACTATAGTTTCTCGTCTAAATTATTTAAAAGTTTTGGCTGGTGTATGTTAAGTCCTACAGTCAATAGAGGCATCTGGTGATGATTTGCCCCCTGGGGTGGAAAAATAATTTATCTGTTGGTATCCTTGCCCGTGATGGCTGAATCACAGACACTAGCTTCTTTCAACATCTACCACTGCCAAATATGCAAGAAACAATTTGAGTTCAAGAAAAAGTGGTTTTGTCAGTGATAAGGATTATAGTAGGTACAGCATCTATTTTGGATGGAAAGATTAATGTATCGGATGAGGAAGTGTGCAAAGCGGAAACTGGAGGAAGTGTTGTAGACTGAGGAAGGCAGGACACCATAGCACAAACCTTGCTGCAAATTCTGTACCTCAATGGCCTGCTTTTTATCAAAATGAGGACAGTGTGACAAAGCTTTGGTTATCTTAAAGCATACCTTAATTAATAAGTTGGTTATTTGGAAAGGATAAGTTACATTTTCTAGCATAGTTTGATGATAGTGATGAAACATTGCTCACAAGATATTTTAAGTGTAGAGAAGGAAGAGAAGCAACCGTCTTTACTTTAATGTACCATGTTTGAAATGCACCACTATCCTTGTACTGTGAAGGAAATAAATTAAATTCTAGAATTGGTGCTACTGATGCCAGGTGCAAAAGAAAGGTGCTGTAAACTTCGGTAACTAAAGCAAAGGTACACTCGACACCAATGTGTTCCTCCACACCAAGTTTGCTTGTCATATACTGTACTTAACAGTAGTTGATTTTAATGCTTTTGAAATTCTTCCCTGCCAAAATGGCTCCTTACTACAGTCCACTTGGGCTGGATGGTAGAGTGACAGTCTCGCTTCATGCAGGTCGGCGTTCAATCTCCGACCGTCCAAGTGGTTGGGCACCATTCCTTCCCTCTGTCCCATCCCAAATCCTTATCCTGACCTCTTCCCAGTGCTATATAATCATAATGGCTTGGTGCTCTTCCCCGATACATTTCACTACAGTACTGAATTTGATTTTGAAGTCAACCCCTTAAAAGGCAAAAAAGATGAGCCAAGACCATTCTGTTGACAAAAGTGGACAGACCAGATTTTGAATGGACTGCCAGTACAGTACTTATAACTTAATTTAGATTCTAATCGTGAAGGTTTTGTGTGTAAATTTCTATTCAAATCCTGAATATTGCACTGTTTGGCAATCTGAATTTTCCGATATACTAGGTAGAATATTATTTACCATAATTATTGGGAGTTTTGATAGTTTTTCTAAATTTTGTGTGACTGCATTCATTGACGTGCATTTGGTGGATCTCGTTACACGTGTTCATGATAGGTACATGTGGCTTTAAGAGCTTTGTACATAACTAATTATCAACAAATTCGTACTGGTAAACATTATTTAAAATTGTATATTTAAGGATTGAGAGAGAGAGAAAAGTTTTAACTTTACCCTCTTAATCTCAATACATATAATGCATACATTTATTTTAACCTAGACTCTTAATTTAATTTTAGTCCTTTCTGTCGAGTAACAGCTGTATCAAATGTTTTCTTTTCCTGAACATGGAAGCCTTGTAATTCTTTCACTTTAGCAGTTTCTTACTACACTAACATCAAGAAACGTTCTTTAATTATACGATATATATCTGTTCCATGGTAAACTCCAGCAAATAACCCCCATGACTTTTACAGAATCTTCATGATATTCATTCTTGCCTGATGGAGAAGGAGCCTTGATAAGGTGATGGTTGCATGGTGCTTGCTCAAGTGCCTCCTAGGTGTGCTGTAGTTATTACTTATGAATAGTGCTCATGTAACAGCACTTACACCTCCTTCTCCTCGTCGAATTACCCTGTCTCCCACCCCCTCCCTCTGCTTGGCCTCGTTCCCCCCCCCCCCCCTCCCTCCCTCTGTTTGGCCTCGTTCCCTCCCCCTCCCTCCCTCCGCTTGGCCTCGTTCCCCTCTCCCCCCTCCCTCCCTCCGCTTGGCCTCGTTCCCTCCCCCCTCCCTCCCTCCGCTTGGCCTCGTTCCCTCCCCCCTCCCTCCCTCCGCTTGGCCTCGTTCCCTCCCCCCTCCCTCCCTCCGCTTGGCCTCGTTTTCCCTCCCCTCCCCCCCACCCTCCACTTTGCCTCGTTCCCCCCCCCTCCTCCCTCCTCCAAGGCTTGCTACCTGTCATGTTAGCAACATAAGCTTAGCACAGTTTCACTACCACAGTGCAACTAGCTGTGATTACATTGTCCTACAGTTATGGCTCCCTGTAAACCCCCTCCCCACCCCTCCCCCTCCCCATCCCTGCTCCCAAGATATATAGCACCTTCTTAGATAACTTGTATAGCCTTCCCGGTTTGGTGCCTTTTTTTGATAATTACTTCTTAGATAACTGCATGAACTTGATCACAATTATAATTATCTGCATAAGTTTCTTTGTTTTGAGTTCTGTTTTGTCTTGGTGCAGAATTTTGGTTATTATTTGTTGCTTTTATTGATATGTAGTTAATATACTACAGTGTTTACAAGTGATGGAATGAATTGTGAATGGAAGATCACTACAAAAGCTATTGTATCTATTATGATAGCAAGGCCTTGTTAGTGGTTGATGCTTGAACCATTAGTTATTGTTTATGATAACTATTAATGGAAATCCATTACCGTACCTGTACTTAGTTTTTGCTTTAAATGGATTTTTTTTGTGTAGCTTTTAATGTTCCAGAAAATCATATGAAGATGGATGGACAGTAAATTGTAGCTTGTATATTTGTTGTTCCTTTTATTTATTCTCTTGGCTCTTCCTGTCTGCACTTAAGTCTTGCTAAGAAAGCAGCAGAACAAGTGTATGACGAGTGGAGTGGGGTTGTTTGCTCTTGGAATACTAGACTGTTTGTTGTAGGCGCACACGTGTGTACTTGACTAGTAACGTACGTGTGTGTGTGTGTGTGTGTGTATATACTCGCCTAGATGTACTCCCCTAGTGTGTGCACGCATGTGCAACGATGAACAATAGTTCCCGAGCCTCACATCTTGACCACTAATTTCCTTTTGTGATGCCTCAATAACTCAGTGGGTTTTGATCATGATTAATAAATTAAAATTTTATATATTGTTTGTGTGTTATAAAGCTGTTCCACTTGAGTGCTCCCTAAGGTAAGCTCATAAAAATATTCATAACAAGTTTTGTCCTTTGTTAAAAACCATACTCTAAGTTTGTGAGCAATGTCCCAAAAATCATAGTCACTTTTCAAGATGGCAGATGTTTACTAAAGGCCTCAAATACTGATTAGGGGCACTGTACTAATAGAAGCTTCAAATATTGCAAGTACAGTACTGCACCTGAAACATCATGTGACGTCATATATGCCACCAGTTGAACATAATTTGGATAGATCAAGGGCTTGTGTACTACTAAGGCTGATGTGACTAGTGTGTGGAGTCTTGGCGAGTAAGTGCATGTGTAAGAGTCAGTGGTATAATGGGCGACTGCTAGTGATGGGGAGCCACAGTCAGCCCCATCCCCCCTCAAAAAAGAGGCATTTCATTTACATTCAATGTTGGTGTTTATTAGGAAATTTGCATTAACCACTGGGCTGCTTGGCTTCCAAATGTGCCCCCCCCCCCTACCCCAGTGCGCAGGAAATAAATTCTCTGGCAATTCTTTACTTTTTTTGAAAGTGTCAAAAACCCTTCCTCGAGTATGGATGTGAACAGAAAATCGAAATTGTACTTACTTTGGCTGCTATGAGGTCCGTACGTTCGCCCGTGACGTCGTCATTCCATGTTTGCCCGTGGCGTACACCCCCGGGGCCAATAGGGCGCCTGGCTCAATATGTGCAAGTTGCCACGAATATATTTGTTAATTTTTTGCACAGTTCCAAATACATTTTATTTGTTTTTTCGTGCCAATCCTATGTATAATTTATAAACACGTACACTATATATGGCAGTAGAACATCCGTACTGTCTGAAGACACTGTTACGTGCATGACACATGTGTACACATATCCTACACATATTTCCACTGTATCGTGCTACTTTATGTATATATACAATCTATTTACACACTGTACAGTATCACACACTATATACGCACACCATAAACACACTCAGAACTCTGTCAGCTGCCACACCCAGCCAGTCCTCCCTCGCTCCTCCAACATCGTACTAGCCATCACTCCTCCTCTCGCCATACTGTTATTCACACCAATGTTTCATGTTCATCTATGTATACTTACAACATATTTACACACTATACACTATCACACACTATACATTCACCATCAACACACTCAGAACTCCGTGAGTGAGCTACCACACCCAGCCAGTCCTCCCCTCACTCCTTCAACATCTTACTCGCCATCGCTCCTCCTCCCATCATACCGTTATTGTTTTTATTACTATTTACACATGTTATGTATACCTATCTACATGATTTATTCACCATAACTATACAACCAAGCTGGTATTGTGTTCAAACAGCACAATGGCCACCATACACTGCACAAGTCACACAGCAGACGACGATGCTATGAATACAATGCAAACTCTCTCAACAAAATGGCTCCTCCCAACATACTCCTGTTGCTGTTATTACACTATATACACACACACTGTATATACAGTACCCATGTACATGTGTGTTCGCCATAGCGAACCACTAGGCTTGTATGGTGAGCAAAACAAGAGTGGCTGCCACACACGGTGATGCTACCTCGGTCTTCGCCCTTCCTCCCCTCCCCCACCAAAATTCCTCCTCCCACAATACTATGCACATATGTACATGGGTATATACTGTACACACATGGTATATACCCAGGTTTGCTCGCCATAGCAAACCACAAAGCTAGTATGGTGAGCAAAACAAGTGACTGCCACACACAGTGACGCTATCTGGATTCCCTCCCTCGCCAAACTTCCTCCTCCCACAATACTAAGCACAGCGCTAATTATCGCCACTGCTGCTGTTATTGCAATCCTGTAAATGAATAATGGACCACAAGTTTATTTTGTAAGGTAACCTAAGTCATTTGAAGATTCCTAGATGGATGAAATAATGTTGTGGTGCTATGGCTAGCGGTGTGAACATCGTGAACAGCATTGATTCACTGATATATGAACATTGTAACCAGTTATTATCACACTCTGGCTCTTCTGTAATACTATCATGGATAAATAATACCAGATACATGTATATATTTTGACATTATTAGGCGATGCTGTGGTCACAAGCTGAACAGCAGTGCTGTGAGCTCGTGCTGCATGCGCCAGCCTTGGTTGCTCACTCAGTACTGCGGCTCTCGCACCCAGGAATTTTGTCCACGACTTTTTTTTTTTTTAAATGGCATCTGTTTACAAGAGCCTTGAGGAAGCTGATATGAACCCCATGTAGCCATGGGAGTTTTGAATCATACGCTAAAAATATAAGATCCCGGAGGCGCGTTGTGCACCCCGTCAAGGGCCTGCATGCGCGTTGCGCAGTTGAGGGGTTAATATACATTTTGTAAACTATATAGAAATGTTCTTTTTTTCCAATGATGCCAAATAAATAACATTGCAGTAATGTTTAACAAGTGTATAAAATATAAGCTAATCATTATTTTAGTTACTGAAAATAACCATGATTGTTTCAAAGACTAAAAATCAAAAGTATAAATCTGAAGACGCGTTAAAGGGCAACCATGTCTCGGCCCCTAAAAACGAGTCTGTAGAATAGACTACGAGGTACTAATAGGTAGGTGCCGGATCTCTCCCATTACGCATCAATAAGTGACTCGCTGCGTATGGTCTTGCATGCCTGTGGGTACAAAAAATTTTCTTTATAGAAGGCATTTTTCATATCTGGATATACCAACATTTATAAGGTGTTTAATATACAGTACTATATTTCATGTCATCTGGTGAAGTGAACATTTCTGGATAAATGTCAGTATTTTTTTCCCATATTTTCAGGACTTGTGGACCGTCCATTGCAAGCTCATCGACGATCCAATGATGGTGTCTTTCTCATAACTTCAAGAAAATCTTGTTTTAATTTTAATAGCTTGTGGCTTTATTATAACTAAATTTTTGTAATTGCCAGGTATTAATTACACCTTATGAAACAATATATATTTTGTGAGTATTGTCATTGCACTAATTTTTTTTTAAATTGAGAATTGATGCCTGGCAATGTACTGTAGTTTAATGGATATATGATCTTAAATACACAAATGAATATAGAATTATAGTTGCATATTAACTGGTTATGCTTAAAACAAATATTATATTCCAGTTATCTGTGGGGAAAAGGCCTTATGTGTACTGTTAATGATGTAATTATGATTATTAAAATTTATTTCATAAAGATATTGTATTTTTATATGGTAAGCTAGTGTCGGCATCGTGTTCATCGTCGTGAAGCGTTTGCATATGTTTTATTTTGCAACTCGATGTATTCTCATACTCGGTACTGTGGTATATACTGGGATTTAAAAGGTGATTCTGTATCGCGTAAGTATATGACGACAATGCCGGCATTCTTCCAGCATTCAACTGGTGTTAGGTATTTTTTCAATAAATTGATATTAAACAAGAATTGGTTTACATTTGTACAGTACCCTGTATAGGTAAACTTGAGCAAGGAGGCCTGAATATAAGTTACTGAAGATGGTTTATTGCTGTGAACTATTTATTCAGGGTTTATTTATTATTTGATTGATGAAAATGTTGAAAGTGTCAAAGCTGTAATCTAGCAATTTTATTGAATTTCCAGATATGTTGCATCTGATAGGAGGATAGTGATTGAGTGGCTGTTACGTTAGCTTAGTAGGCTACTTTTCATTGGAAAAAGTCGTGTCCAGTTTGACAGCGTCGTGCAATAGTGCTGGGAAGACTGGAGACCACGAGCATAGCTCTTATCCTGTTGCTACACTTGGGTAATTATAGGAATTACAGTACAGGATCCCTTGTTCCTGTATAACTGCAACCCGTTCTTGCTGTGACATAGTACGTATGTAACTAAAAGCTTATTGTTTTTATGCTGCGAATGTTAGTAGTTCTTCTGTGGTAGATTTCCAGTTATTACCTATCACCAGGCATCGACCCTTCCTCATGTACCATAGTACCCGTCACATCGCCGTAGACAGCAGAATAGTCGGTTTGCTCCAATTTTAATAATTGTATTCTGCCAGTCCCACTTCTGATGTGCAATTTATGTACTGTACTATTTTTCATGCTAACTGAATATCATGGATCACCTACATCCTACTGAAGGCTCGTAGTTTTGTTTTGAGTAATCTTGGTAGTGTAATGTATGATTGTTACGTTGAGTAGATTAGATGCACAGGGTTTAGTGGGTTTTCATATTTAGTAGTCTTGGATACAGTAGTTGGTTGTTGGCAGTGTTGTAGACGGAGCTTGGAGCAGAGCAGAGCAGAGAGCTGAGTGAGGCCGGAGTCGCAGAGCTCTATGCGGGAGAGTGTGGCAGCTAGATGGGGAATTATGAGTGTCTAAACCTGAGTGGGAACAAGAGCGTTGTAGCTCAATGAGGTTTTAGTCTGCTGTCTGCTCTGTGTCGAAGCTGTAGCGTCTTGGGGTCGATTAGAACTGTACACGCCCAGTGCTCCATTCTTGAGGTTGAAGAGATGTGGTAACTCCCAAGCATCATCTGCATCTGTTAACTGAATCGCTGTGGAAATTATACTGTTGGCTATTCTCTTTTCGAATGCTTGTATTATTGGATTACACCTCGGCTTCCTCCCATAGGATGGAAAGAATGTTACCTGTAATTAGGGAAAAGATTATAGACTCAGAATTAGTGCAAATTGAGTTTGTCATTAATGTAATAAGAGGTCGAAGCAAGTATATTGTTTACTTGCTACAAGCTATTTCTTTGGTCCCGATTCTCAACTGTCACTTGACTGGTTTACAGATTTCTGAACCTACTGGGCTCGATCATATCTACATTTGAAACCGTGTATCTAGTCAGCCTCCACCACATCACTTCCTAACGCATTCTATCTGTTAACTATTATGACATTGAAAAAGTTTTTTCTAACGTTTCTGTGGCACACTTGGGTACTCGGTTTCCACCTGCCCCCCCCCCTCCCCTCCCCACTTGTTTGCCTACCACCTGTGTTAAACAATTTATCTTTATCTACTGTCAATTCCCCTTGTAATATTATAGGTAGTCATAATGTTTTCCCTAACTCTTCTGTCTTCGTGTCGTGAGGTACAGTTCCAGCAACCTTAACCCATAGTTCATTGCTCTCAGCTCGGGGACTATAGCCTGGTGGCATACCTCTGAACCTTTTCTAACTTCGTTTTGTGTTTGACTGGATGTGGATTCCAGGCTGGAGCCGCATATTCCAGTATTGGTCTAACATGTGATGCATACAAGCTTCTGAATGATTCTTTACACACATTTCTGAGAGAAATTTGCGTAATATTTTTCCATCCTATTCGAATACCATAGGTCGGCTATATCCTATTGAAGGGTCTTAGTTTAGTTTTGAGAAATCTTGGTAGTTCTCAATAATTCATAGAATAATTACTATAATTTACTACCTAAATATTTCAATTGGCGCCAAATTATAATATATACAATAGAATATGCTGTACAAGTTAAAGAAAATGAATCGAACATTATGTATTATAGAAAAGTATAGGGAAGGGTACACTATATTACCGCCCACAGGATGGGTATGGGGACCAATAACGTTCACGAGATGGGAATAGGGACCATAACACTCGCGGAATGGGTATTGGGTTCAACACTACCAGTACATATACTCTGTACCACCACATGCACCCTGTGCTGTGCTAGGAACCCGGTAGTACGCTCGGGTTCCTTCTCGACGCACAATCCGTGGTGTAGTGGTTAACAGTCTGTAGAAAGCTGTCTCCATGGTGTAGTGGTAAGACACTCGCCTGGCGTTCCGCGAGCGCTATGTCATGGGTTCGTATCCTGGCCGGGGAGGATTTACTGGGCGCAATTCCTTAACTGTAGCCTCTCTTTAACGCAACAGTAAAATGTGTACTTGGATGAAAAAACGATTCTTCGCGGCGGGGATCGTATTCCAGGGACCTGCCCGAAACGCTACGCGTACTAGTGGCTCTACAAGAATGTAACAACTCTTGTATATATCTCAAAATCGAAAATGCCCGATTAGAATCCTGGGCGGGACAGAAATGGTTGGGAACATTTCCTTTCCCCCTAATGCATCTATTCACCTAGAAGCGACAAGATACTCGAGTTAGTCAGTTTGTTGCGGGGTTGCATCCTGGACAGGGTCAGTAATTTGGCCTTGGTTGGGGGGGGGGGGACTCGATATAAGCCTAACTTATATGAATCCACTCTGGCTTACTGGCTTATATGTACCCTGTATCACCACATATACTCTTTACCCGCACACAAACTCTGCACACCCATGTGCACCCTGTATCACCACGTGAAGTCTGCTCCACACCCTCAAAGAGCCGATACTATTGGGTAATAAATGTGAAAGTTATTAATTAATAATTACCATAGCAATCAATGCAGTTGGTGCATCTTAAGAATGGTCAGTTATTCGACCTTGTGGGATTGAGCACAGAGGACGGCACTGAGACCTTGTGGGATTGAGCACAGAGGACGGCACTGAGACCTTGTGGGATTGAGCACAGAGGACGGCACTGAGACCTTGTGGGATTGAGCACTGAGGACGGCACTGAGACCTTGTGGGATTGAGCACAGAGGACGGCACTGAGACCTTGTGGGACTGTGCACAGAGGACGGCACTGAGACCTTGTGGGATTGAGCACAGAGGACGGCACTGAGACCTTGTGGGACTGTGCACAGAGGACGGCACTGAGACCTTGTGGGACTGTGCACAGTGCTCCAAATTTAGCTAAATAATTTGCTCGTAAGGAGGAATTTGATTTGATTTCCTCTTGAGGGCAGCAATATTCCGAGAAAATAGACAATAGACAATTTTATTATTATTATTAATCTAGTTAACTTAAGGCAAAGTTAAATAATTAGCTCATTTATTATGCACCCCATACCCATCTTGTGGGCGGTAGTGGAAAGGGTTACAGTGGCACATAATGGGCTCAGGGACTGAATAATTAATAATAATTATTATTATTATTATTTATTAATTAATTCACCTACGATATATATAGCTATTAACTATGGCTCCTTATTTTAGTATTTTTGGTGATTTTTAAGGGTTAATAGTTAAGATTGTAGTGAAGTCGTTAGCGAAGATGACAGCTGTTGACGGATGAATAATCTTCACAACAATAGTTGACTCTTTCTGAAAATAGTTAAAAATTATAATGTCTCCATTCTGTGTCAACTAATATTTCTACCCATGATTTAAACCCATATTCTACAGTGCATCCTGTTAAAAGTTAGCACTTGGGAGAAATCTTGGTGCTTTTCAGTAAATTAAAATAAGCATTCTATAAATTATTACATACAATAATGGTTCGTTCGCCAAATATTATATACAATAGTTTATGCTTTGAAAAGCGAATAGAGAATGGATGTAGGAACATCTACAGAAAACGACGTGACATTGGCATGTTTATGGGGTAAACTACTGCAAACAATGGATATAGGTAGGTCCACAGCACGTCACACGATGTTTGAGGTCCACTACCACCCAAAACTCCTTGAGCACTTTTCTTCTCACTCTCGCTCCGTTCCCGTCTTCACCGATGAGTCTGTCTGCGGACGGTGTGGGCTACTCTGTTGTTTTTCCTGACCACACTTGTGTGTCGCTTACCTCCGGAGACTAGCATCTTTACAGCGGAGCTTTATGCTATTCTCTCTGCTCTTCGTCTCCTGCTTTCTCGTTGTCAGTCCTCTTCTGTGGTTGTTGTTGACTCTCATAGTGCCCTCATGGCTCTCGGGTCCTTTAATCCGGTTCATCCAGTAGTTGTCGAGATCCAGCATTGGCTCTTTCTTGTTCACAGTAAATTTAAGTCGGTTGAACTTTGCTGGGTTCCTAGCCATATTGGTGTGTCTTTAAATGGGTATGCGGATGCTGCCGCCAAGGAAGCTGTCCGCTCTTGTCCCATCTCCCGTAAAGGTATTCCATATTCTGACTTTTACCCGGTTATCCATTCCTCCATTCTTACCCGTTGGCAGGCTACTTGGTCGTCTGTTACTGGTAACAAACTGCGTACTCTTAAGAGTTGTGTGTCCTCGTGGTCGTCCTCCTACCACCGTAACCGGCGATGGGAAACGGCTCTGGCGAGGTTGCGTATTGGCCATATACTCGCTTAACCCATGGTCACTTGATGGAGCGCCTCCCTGCTCCTTATTGTCCTAATTGCATTGTCCCTCTTACGGTCGTGCATGTCCTTGTTGAATGTCCAGACTTCCGGGACGAGCGTGTGTCTTGTTTTCCGACCGTTCCCCGCGGTCACTTGTCCCTTGATAGAATTCTTGGCGACTCGGATACTTTTGATATCGTTCGCCTTATGTGTTTCTATTCTCGTATTGGCATCCTTGGTGATATTTAGCGCCCTCTGATTATCCCGCACATTTGATGGTGCTACATAGCCTTCCCGGTTTGGTGTCTTCTTTTTGATAATTACTTA